CTCGATATGCAAAAGTTATGCAGAACGTCATCATCTATGACACTTCGTATCCAATCGCACTAAACCTAGATTTAAAAGCCTGCTCTCAGAGAAAAGGATCAACAATTTTAGGTCTGAGAAATGCTTGACGAGATAGCCAGTTACCAACACCTTTTCGTTGACAACGGTTCCTACAAACTTCAGAGCCTTTGGTCAGCTTTAGATTATAGCTGAGATTTAGCTACCTAAACATGTATTGCATTTTAATTCAGCTCGTCGAGAGTTTTTAATAGGCACCAAGAACTATCTTCTCAACACAGACTTCCATGTAAAAAAAAATCTATATAAGTGTCGCCTAAGCGAAAGAACTACTCACTCTAGCCTTCTTCACGCCGAAATATCAATTTTATAAAATTAATTATATTACATTTTTACTCAGCTTGTCAAGATCCATCGACTGCTGTAAACTGGTGGTGCTTTTCGTAGAAAAAAATGTTTTGCATTAATTTGGCGATTTTCTCAAAGACCTTCTTACATTAGAGCTTGTTTTTGAAGACAATGTTCATTTAAAGTATTGTTCATATCAGATGCTATAACCTTCCAATTGCACTTATCAGAAATTCATTGGAAAAGCACTTAACGGTAGCTCGAAGGGCATTTTTATTCCACTATTATGTGGAGCAGGCGAACTTCTAAGGGGTTTTCGACAATCTCCACGCCGAAATACCCATATTAGGTATAGAAGCATGTGCACTACTTTGATTCAGTTCAACAAAAGCTTTTGATTACTTCACTCAAGCTAGTTGCCATCGTCAATAGCTTCAATGGATACCTCAGGGGTCGCAGAATATTTTAAACGGAAAGCCATGCTATTATGTTACTACGTTGTTAAACAGGCTGCTACAAATACGCGATGCTGTCGTTGGGCAAGAGAATGCAGGGCACGTTTGTCGCATCGATGCGCCTAATGAGATGCTGGAAATGAAGAAACGCAGCTCCTACTAGTCAGCCACGTCGACTAGAAGAAAGCGGATTGACGCTCCTTCGCCTGTCACGAAGCTAATGGGCAGATCTGGGTCTCCTCAGCAGCAAGGAAAAGAGGGACTGCGAAGCCGGAATAGATGTATCAGAAGTTTAAAGTTAGCCCTTTTCGAGACGCGTACTTTACCCTATAGTGATTCACTATTATTTATTATTACCTTTTCCTCGCCTCAGCTAACCTGTTTAAATTTCCTACGCAAGAACAAAACTAATGATAATAATAACACAATTATATATCCACAGCTGGTTAATATTTGCTAAGCATTTATTGACATGGAAAGCGGGGTGAAACAGCTTCTGAGGATGAGCCGAATGCAGGATTTCTACGACGCTCTACAGGAGCTCGTCTTGTAGGATTTTTTTCTGGAAGAAGTAGTGTCCCTTAGTAGATGAAGTTTATCGTGTGTGGAGAGGGAAGGGCTTATTAGGGTTGGGTAGCGATATCGCAGGATTAGATCAAATCCCTTGATCGCATTGCCGGTAAAAAGAAAACGACTTCGAAGGACACTAGTTGGGAACTTGCCTACCACTATTTTGTTTGGGGGGCAAGTTTGTGCTTACTACATCTCAAGACGTATTATCTGTCCGACAAAATCTTTAGTTCTGCCCTGAGATGGTGGTCTAAGTTTGTGCTGATGTGAACTTATCCAAACGAAAATTAAGCGTTGTAGACCCTCTGGATTTCACCGTCTTGATATTGTTATAATCAATTGCAATTATGATTATTATTCATAGCAAAATCACGATATTACTTTTTACTGGACATTCGTTGGCGGGAGCATAAAAATATGAATTCAACACGGTTTCCCTATAATATACAAAAGCTAATATGACACTATCATCCGTCGGGGACTCGCCATTGTTAAAAAACCGGCGAAAAGCTAAAGAATGCTAAATGGTTGTTATCAAGCCAAAAACAATTCACTGTCAAAAATCACAGACGTCATACTTTTGCGGCAATAAAATAGTTTGAAGTTTAGTCTTTCCACGAAAAATCCTACGGCGTTCATTGTTCTTACCACTTCTTACTGAAGGGTATGAGACAGAAGCGGACATAAAAATGTTCTATACGTGTTTTTACCGCAACAGTATTAAAGAAATGTAACGTATATCGAAGCATACAAACATGCTGTGTCTATTAAATAACATGCGTTTCATGTTTAGCTGCATGTACTGAGCTTTCGAGAACAAGCAACGGCCAATGTGTTTTGGCCTACTTCGCAAAGGAGAGAATATGAAGTTACCGAAGACAGCCATGTTTTCTGCAAAATAAAATTTCCTGCAGTAGGATCTACGCAGTGTTAATTACGACTATAATCGTGACGTCCTTTATGCTTTTGAGCAAATAACGAATATTCTCTATAGTATAACTATTTGAATTGTTTCCTGATAAGATTGATGTCAGGTAAAAGATGTTCGTCATATATATAAGATATAAAACAAAAGTACTGCCTGAATAAAATGCGAATATTGAAATGAGACCACTTAGCCGCTAGAAGTGTAAACTGAAGGTTGGACCCCGGATGAATAGCATCATGTATAACCTTTAGAAACCTTTACAAATTAATCTCTCCATGTCTACACATACCTTATACACTTCGTGCATCGCATACCTGGTAAAAAAACGACGGCAATCAAATATTTTTTTTAATCGAACTTTAATTTTGTTATATTCTTAATCAGAGTTAATCGAGTTGAAATGTTACTAGAGTTTTCAATATGTGTTTTTTTTTTTTTTTTTTTTTACTTTAACTATACATGGGTTCAAAGAAAAACGCTGCCAACAAATCCCGCTGCAAGAAGGTCCTACCAGTCTCAAAATTGTCGTAAATACTGCAATGTCTAGATAGTAGCTTAGGCGACCAGTTGTGTAATCTCTCCACTATCAACACTTAGTTTAGACGCTTTTGACGTCTTTGGGAAATGCTGCATAGGAAAGGCTGTGTGGATTTACCCTTCTGATTTGTACGAATTCGTCAGGTTCAACTTTAGATGATATACTGTATCCGTTAAACTGTACACTGAAAGAGTGAATCTATTATACAATGAAAGTTTTTTTTTTATACAGCGAGAGGTCCTTATACTACGAATTTCAATTAAAAAAAAAGTTGAAATTATGAAGTAACGTAACTCCCATTCAGTTGCTGATTGCTTCTCATTTAAACTGTTAAATCATATATTTTATAGTTTGAACTCTATCCGTATTGAAGAAAAATCGATCATATGCTCTTCGACCTGAATGTACATATAAAGGTAGATGAAGACGGGAGAGTTGCGGAAGAGACGCATTGTTTCGATATTGTAATTCTCATTCTTCTGTGATAGGATCTGCTTTATAGCACTCACTTGTAATTGTTCGTGGGAACGATAGGCCGTTCGTGATGGTCCCATAGGACACCTGCCGAAGCTTAATTATTTGATGGCATTTTTCAGTATTTTTTTTTCCTTAAAAATGCTTACTACTATTATTTAGGTAGTACTAGGAAGATTTTGCATGCGGTTACACCAAACATTAATCTTCCCTGAAGTTTGTAAGTTCTAATTGCATTGATCATTTCACTTCATTTCTACACGCTCCACTGTGTGCACACTTTACTCGAAATCCAGAGACGGTAAAGATTCATTTTGCTGCATATGTACTCGCTAACTCCTATGTAGACATCTTATATATGAATCGTATTTGAATCGTAGCCTAACTTTGGAAGGACTGACAGATGGTGGCTTCCTTCTACTCCTAACAATAAATGGAAATCAATGTTTATGGCCTTTACGCTTATTAAGAACTGCTCGTAGGTCAATGCTGCATCAAGTCACCGTGCAGCAATCTATCTTGGTAGAGATTTTGGCTAAGTAAACGTGGGTAACTGAATGAGAACGGGCTAACTATAATAAACTAGCCTCGAATCTAAATTAAACTTTAGAGATAGTAAGTTATTGTAAAATGTCAATTACGCACACTTACTTTCGAACATGTACTCGTTCTTAATATATAATTTTACTACTGTATGCTTTTATTCGTATATTTTATTTAGAGGAATCGTTTTGAACAACCTAGGGATTTTTAAGGTATTTAACATAAACGCTGCTTCGCAATATGTCTACCTTTGTTACTATTATTATTCAAAGATGAGCGTAGCGCGTTTAGGACCTATTGTCTTATATGGACAACATAAATCTTCCCTTCTTCCTACTTATGTAGGCAGCACTTCTACCAGCTCTTACATAACACGATTACAATTTTATAGCAAGTAGTGTTCTAATCATAGAAGCAATTTCATATAACATATCCATATAGAGTTTCGACATATATACGCTAGTTAGTTACCTTTCTGCCTTATCGAGCAACCTAACTGTCGAGCACAAAAGTGGACCAATTTTGAATGCGCTTTTTATTAGAAGATTTCATATTCATAAGATTGATCTTCTGCTAGAGCTTCAACGCACAAACCCATTTTTATTCTCGACTCGGGTTTTCGGCTTACGAGGTTCGACAAAGGCTATCACACCATTACAAAATAGCTGATTGCTTTTTTATTTAACATTGCACTCACTTATTGATTGCTGAATTGCTTATACACACCAAGCATCTTTCGGCGTCAACATGTCAATGTCTTCACTTTGAAGCGTTTAATTAGAGAAAAAATTGCCATATCGCAGGTTTAGTTTAGGGACGACTCATGCATACATGTAACAATTATTAATCAAGAGCCTAGATTGTCGTTGACTCTCTAGTCCCAATAGGTTGTTGTGATTTTTTTTTTCGATATTTTTATACGAGTAGATTTAAAGTGGCACTCTCGTATATCAACACGTCCCTTTCGAGAGTCCTCAATTCTAACAAAATTGAAGAGACGGCCGATGAACGAATTGAATATTCCACTAGGCATGGCCATGCAACTTACAAATACGTCAATATTCAACTTGTACCATCGTCCTGAAATTACATGATGTTGAAACTAGAACCTTATTCCATTTTGCAGGTGTGTCGTATCGGTCAAAGATATGCGCTCTCGGAGTCGATCAGAATGAAGCGCGCTTTGATGAAGTGTTCGAGTGGTCTATGGGCCGGCCTATCGATGCTCACGAGACCCTCGACATTCATTTAATCAACAAAAGCAAATACAACATCGCTGGAGCCAACAGGTTAGCCCAATTATAAAACGGACACCGATGAAATAAACAGTTAAAAGTAAATACACGACTGTTATAAACTATGGTTAATTCAATTTTTCTACGGCAGACCTAAAAATAGTTACTGGCCAGAAAACAAAAAATTATACTTTTTTATGTCCTACACTGTTTCTAGGTGTTGTTTGGAATGTCTGATTGTTCCGGAAGTACATGTTCCTATGTTCAGTAGGCGAACATCTTAATAGCACACCATTACGGAGACGGAATATTATCTCGTTAGAATTTTCCTTGTTAGCATCCATTGATTGTGGATGTCGGCAATAAAAGCTGCGACTGACTTATGTGTGGTTTTTCGATGTCAGGAGGTGAAGCCTATATATATATGTTATGCGTGTCTTTACAATATGTGCATATAGCAAATGGATCTCCCGGCTACAGTATCAAAAAGGCCAAGATCCTATAACGAACGGTTAGTTATTGCACGCAGTAGAAGCTGGTAACTTTAGCGGAATGGGCCGTCCCACTCAAATATAGTATCCATACACTCAAAGCTGTTTAGCCAGTTTTTTTTTTAACTGAATAAAATTGTCAGCTGTTCTTGTAGGGTTGTAGACTTTGAGTACGAGGCACGAGGTTTAGATAGAACTTTCGACTGGCATAGTAATAACGTTTCCGAAGCGCTCAGATGAGTGTTGTTGTACATTTGCACAATAATTCAAATGGAGGCGCACGCGTATTGGATTGTCGAAAAAGTATTGACCGTTTTTCCAACAACAAATGACATTAATACTAACACCTTCTAAATAATATGTGTTAGTATTAATGTCATTTGAAAGCTGAGGTTTGGCAATGGTCGATACGCCAAAATTATCAGAACGTTTTTATTTCGACATCAAATAGAGCATCTTTGACATTAACAATTAAAGCGATCACATGGGTCAAAAATATAGCTAAGTAGATTTCGTGCGAAAAAATTAGTCATTTAACAAAACCAAAACGAAACATTTTTCTTCTCAGAGAGGACTGCGGTTAGGGTTTGAGAGGCCGATTCTTTACGGTTACGTTACTGTCAAGTTCGACAGGCCGAAGATTAAGGTTCGCTGTCCGAACATGAAGCTTTGCTAGACCGTACACAATCACGTTCTGGTAAGAACTGCCCAGATCTTCATTAAACCCTACTATAGATCAATGTTAAAAAGCGGGCTGTAGACTAAATAACGAACGTTGTTATAAATAATTATTTATGACAAATTCTGATATATGGTCATGCCTATCGGCAATGTGACAAAACACAACTGCCGACACTGCTTTACCTGAATGATGCGTTACGCTAACAGAGTTGTTGAAACGATTTCAGAGGCAATTACGTACGACACGTTTTCGACGATATATAGTCTGATGTACGTGTACGCATTTCTAATAAACTCTTGAATTTTCTACTTTTTGTTACTCTCTGACATCGGGCAAGATATATGGACGGGTGCATATATGAAATCGGATGTCCTAAGATGATTATGAAACGTAACTCAATGTAAAACGTAATCTGCTTTGTGCTTGCCTTTGCAGCACGCAAATGCTGTGCTTTATTGCTCAGTAAAAGTTTGATAAAATACAAAACGAAATAGTTAGCTGTCGCGTATAGAATTTAGTTAAAGAATAAATTTCAAACTTGTAAGTATCTCAGACGTTCCGAATATTTAACAGTATTGAAATCTTAAATTTGCCGTACAGCTTCACCTTTTTCTATACCGATCGATATAAAATGCACAATAGTGAATTTTGATTTTTGGAACTTCTTTAACAACGAAGTTCACACTATTAGTATCGATGATATCTATTTTTTTTTTCTATTTAGATGCTAACTTATATATTGCTGCTGCTGCTGCTGCTGTTGCTGCTGCTGCTGCTGCTCCTGCTCCTGCTGCTGCTGCTGCTGCTGCTGCTGTTGCTGCTGCTGCTGCTGCTGTAGAAGTCCGCAGTACGGGAGTTTTTCAAATTTCGAAAAGCGATCTCAGAGCATTTGAGATTTGAACCATTGAAATGAATGAAGGCGGCACCTCGTGACTGTGGTGGATATCAAAAAGACTCTAACTGTAACTTTTCAACAGTACTTTTTATCCTGCCAGGTTAAAAGTTGTTGCACAGTCAGAGTGGTTTAGCTTTGCTCACTAATCGAGATAGCGCAATGCATGGTTCTTTTACCAGTCTTCTCCACTTACCAGGACGGTCATATCAGCCGTAGTCTACAAGCAGACACCACCTGCGCTAGACCACTAAATCGACACCATAAACTACTAGGGCTATATATTCGCTTAGGGTAATATTCCGGCTCGATCGGATCCACAAGCTGATGTTACGGTGTTATGGTGGTCGTACGAGATTTCCTTAGACAACCGAGTGCAAAAATGGGTCGCTGTTGCGACGTGAAAGCCCCCAAAAACAACAGTCCTCACTGAATCCTCACTGAAATCATACAGCATGCGTTCTTACAATTCTTTCATCTTACCGAAATTAACAAATATTATATTTGTATATGCATCACAGCCGAGTGTTGACACCCGTAAACTCCGGGATGAGTTAGTTTCCACCACATCATAATAAACATTATTATTATTATTATTATATTAATTATTATTATTCATCTTGGCATAGGGCCCTTAATGAAACTCAGTTTATCAAGTGGAAAATAATTTCCCTGGAATCTTGAGTAACAGTCTGTGGCGCAGATGGCGAATCCTTCAATGAACATAAAGCTTGTAGCGCGACGTTGACACTGTAAGTTTCGAATATACAACAACTCTTACCTCCGTAAACCACTCCAATTTTTTCATTTTTCGTGGTTCATGACGTGTCGCCTGCTAAGAACCCGGTTGACAAAATTCATGTGATGGTCGCAGATATCAACGAGTACAAACGCTATGTTAAAGATAGGAATCTATTTTGTATATATAACAGGTTATACATAATTAGACCTACCTAGAGATCCGATAAGTATTAAGACGTCGAATGAAAGATATCAGGGGCAACTTGAATTTTGCGAGTACCTTAGACTTAGTGCATTTCAAGCATCGGCTTATCAGAAAATCCATTCATAATTTAGATGTCTCAGTGCATCGAACGATGCAACAGTAACAATCTACACACGCCAGTTGACGGAGCTCAATATTTCCGGGTCGAGATTCGTTCTATTTTACTCGCTTCTTATTGAATAGTCTTCGAATCAAGAGACAGCAACAATTAATTCTTAGTAGAGATCGAGCAATAATATTAAACCTGTATTACACAAACACAGTTGACACAACGCAGAAAATACTTGTGTCCTTACCTTTTCTTTGGACACGGCCCACGCTAAAGTAAATTTTTCTCTTTGTCGATTTCCTAACACTGCAGGAACATTTGGGGTGCATATCGTCTAGTGCTTCAAGAGCTTCTGACCCAAAAACACCTTGTCATCTGCGATGATGCGCTCATCGATCTGCACAATCATCCGACCTCGATCGCGGTCACGCTGGAACTTCACTATGTTGCGCCCAACGATTCCCTCTACCAGGTAAAAACGAAAACAGGCGTTAGCATAGCTGGGAGAACATAGTCTATGTATATATTTTACTTGCAAACGTTTGTCGTTCGACCCAATTGGCGTTTCCCCAAATATTAGGCCGAGTGAGAAAGTTTTTGTTTTTTCGACGTTACAATCTATTGTGATTTTCGAACACATCTTAATCAAAGTAGTATCGTTCGCCATCCAGTTCTCCAAGGCCTCGGTCCTGAAGTTCTTGGTTATGCTGCTCCGATCAAAGTAAGTTGTAGTTAAGGTGATACGCAGCTTATACGTCGAGAGTTTCTCATTGAATGTCACCAAAGTGGTATGCAGTCTAGCGTTGTCATGCAGCAATATCACTTTGCATGTGCTCTCCACCACTGAAGTTTGTTTCTGTAAATTTTGTGCCTCAGACGGGTCAGTTGTTTTGCGTTAACGGTCTCAGTGGTCTTTTCCTGAGATTTCATTAGCTCATTGCATAACGCTGGCCTCAGTCCCATCACACGTCAAGGTACAGCTTTCAACCAAGCATATTTTTCTTGCGGAGTCTAACAATTCTGGTTTCCCTGAAGGGTGTCATAAAAGATCAATATTTCATCGCAGGTAACAACCGCGTATGTGAATAGCTTCTGTCGTACAAGCAATGAAAGGTACATCATTAGGCAATAGCTTTTATCAGTGTCTTTAAGTTCATGGGGGTTCGCTTTCTTTTTTCCTCGATATTTTCTACTGCGTACAAACCATTGACGGTAATTATCTGGGTTATTCCTAGCTGTGCAGAGCTTTCGGGCTGGCACCTTTCCGCCGTATTCCAGTTCAGGAATATCTGCAATTTGTCGTCGTTTGCTTTTTGCAATTGTCCGAAGCCTGATTTCATTTTCAAGTCGAAATTTCTGGTTCTTAGGCGATTAAATGAGCGTTGACGCTTACTGCAAGTTAACGTTTAACTTCGAAAACGTTTTTTTGTGTCGGCAGTACTCTTCCAGCAGAAAAATAGTAAAAAAGGCATCTTTCCAAGCTCTGTCTAAATGCATTCAATCACCATTTCTAATAACAAACAGCTCCACGAGAGAGCAGGGCACCTGGCCAACAGGCAAAAGATTCGTCCTAGCAAGTTTCGGCTAGATAAAATTAGCCGATTCGACGCTGGCGTCATCTGTCAGCTCCAGCGGGAATTTTTTACTCAACCTCATAGTTTAAGGTTACAATACATTGTTTAGGTGTGTTCTTATGCATGGCACTTAAGCGCTAATTTTCTATAAAACTAAAGAGGCAAACCGGATAGTAGATAGGTTTTCGCCACCGTGCCGATGTGAATCTATTCGTAATTAAAAGTAATCCGCTTAGACAAGATTCCAGTCTCTTCTGGTATAATGCTTGAAGACTGCATTGAATATCGAAACAGGTGCTAGGTCTCTGCGTTATACACAGAGCATTATGAAATAACGGCTACTAGTCTACCGACCACCGAAAATTTATATTTTTATATATTTATTACGTTTAATTAATAAGCGGCCCCGCTTCTATGTCATCGTAGTTATGTCCTGTGTGACAAAATATCTGCGAATAGTTCAATGTCTGATTGAGCTCCGAATAAAACTTCAAATATTGTGGCGTATGCTTGTGCTACACCATAGACGATAGACCACATGTACAGACGTGGGTAGGCACATATTGACTCTGAATTTTAATCTCAATATGTTGACCATGCAAAGAAGCAATAGACAAAAGCATAGTATAGAGCGCCAAGCAATCTGCCATCATGCCCCTTTCTTCTCGATTTAGCGAATTTTTCAGATCTAATACATTTCAGATAGCAACACTTAATCCTGTATTAACCGAAACATATATATATATATATGCAAAGCAATGATATATATATATCATTGCTTTTACATTTGTGTACATTGTTCTTGTGTAAGCGGAAGAGATATTGAGCTCTCACGGATAAATTGGAAATGACCAGTCGTAGCTGCTCCTAGCTTAAAGGTGAGATGAAAAATGTCTTTGTACGGACAAGAAGACAGAGATTGTCGTTCAATTGCGTCTTCGATATTCTTATTTCTGGAAGATGGAAGGTAATAGCAGTGGTTGTAGGAAGAAGAGTGTATGTCTTTCCAACAAAAAAACGTCTGCAATAATCCGTCTTTTTTGTCTCTCGAATATTTTGTGAGGTCGTAATCATCAACACACTATTGACTCGTTAATCCATATTGTACACCTTAGGATAATATAATTATTAAATGTGGAATTTCGTTCGATAGTCAGGAAAAAACTTTTATTGCGCCTACATCAATCGTTATTAAATAACTTGATTGCTTTAAATCATCATTCTCATATCTGATAGATGAGTTTACAAGCCCTGTAGGAAGATTGTCGATTTTGGTATATCTCGATGTTATCGACAGGATGTCAATGACTCCTGGCCCTTTATTGTCATCCTTTTCAGAAGGAGCACTAGGAACTTTCTAATCATGTTTGGAATATCCTATGCTCATACTTATTAGCGTCGTTCATTGTTGCTGCTATGTAAATTCAGGTACGGAGAGAGGAATAGTGTATGCGAAAGCCGAAAGAAGGCCGGGTGCGACGTAATCTTCGTACAACAGTTTCTACACCAGCGCATCATCCAATGTTCTGAATACCAGATATTACAGACACGTCTATTAACTAAGAGTTTTCGTAAATATAGGTCTTTTCTGACATCTAAACTCGAAAATAGGGAATATTTGAGCCCTCTATATCATAGCTAGAAGCTGGAGAAGCAAAACACATAGTCTACTCCAAAACGTGAAGATTGGGTAACTGTAAATAAGTAGTTCATTCATTTCGCACTAGCAAAAAATGCCAGACCCAGAATTGCACATTTATATTACGCTTTCTTTGGCCAGCTTTTTAGTCAAATTTAAAAGCTAAATTAGGTGCCACTTGTTTGAATTTATTTGTCGTTTGTCGTTAGGTAAAAACATCTATAACTATCGGGAGTTTCGGGCTGAGCTAGGGGTTAGCTAGTTCGCTTTTGCGGCTAGCCACGTATTTCTAGATTAAATAAATGAATTCTTGAAACATCTTGTTCACAGTTCGCTGCTGTAACGACACCATCACAAGGTCTGAGATTCTCGGCCTTGTTCAAGTTGCTAATTAACCAACTTCCTAAATTTGCGTAACTTACTCGGTTCTTCGGGTCTAGACGTAGCGACCTAATATAGTCTATTCCTATGTACCGGCTGCTCGCTTGGTGGCTATCGCGGATGCAGATGGAGCAAAGCTTGACGGAGCTGGAGAAACAGTATGCAGCGGCGATTCGGAACGCGCAGGCCTCTCAAGGCCATAGCAGCGATACGGACACTGAAAGTGAGTGAACGCGCTAGTATCACTACTACAATGTGGGAGAAGACAACCTTAGGCACAATAATGCGTACAAAATTTTGTGAACTTAGTAATTCAGTAGTAGCTAAACACACATGCATGCGCAATATCCAAACTAATTTATAATCAAGTTTATTTCAGCTAGACCGTATGTTACCACAATGAAATCTACCTACTTTTTGCGTTATTTGATTGCAAATGCCCATAGATAGTAGCGCTTCAAGTGTTAAACGCTGGACGATGGTTGCAGACCCAAACTAAACAGGCACCTGCCGTCGCGACTACAGACATCCGATTCGGCGAATGTAGTTGTCCTAAATATGAACCTCTTGTCTTTCCTTTCCGTGTAATTATCCTGCTAGAGCCGTGAGTTTTTTAATTTGTCGCTCTTGTATTGCGATGCACCAAATCAAGGCGTATTGTGTTTTCTATATACGAAAGCCTGTTCTAGGTAAGAACAGACCTTTATTTTCAATATACTCATTATCTTGCAGGTGCTTGTGAGAAATCGACCTTGTTAAAAAGGATTCGTAAGAAGTCCATGTCGAGCACAGTGCGTAATATCGCTAATATCATCAAACTGAAGTCCAAAACAAGCCGATATTCGCCAGGCGTAAGCGATGACGAGGTCAGTGCAGGGGCCATTTTGCCACAATGTATTTCATGCGGCGTTCGTACTTATATTTGTTCTATTATATATATCTTCATTTAGTGTTTCGTTACTATGATGGTCGTAATGGCACAAATATCAATCGCGGTACAGTCGTCTGTACTTTGATAGGATCGTGCTATGTGAAATAGTCCTGTTGTAGAAGCTGTGGTAACTATCGTGTCCTTCTTTGGTCATCTGGCAATAAGAATTAGGAATCGTAGTTCTGAAAAGGATAACAAACTGAAGGATGAAACGAACGGCAAAAAATTAGGTACATAGGCACACCGTTAAATAAGTGACCAACTTCCAAGTCAGATATGGTAAGTAATTAACGTTTCTTCCTACAAGAAAGTTTTGTAGATTTCAAATACGTAATTCGAGAAAAATATTAGCTGTGACACAAATTTTCACTGCTGAAAATGAGTGGTTCTCTTATAACGAGATTTACACAATTTACATATAGTCACTAAATGGTGTTAAAAAGAGGTATAAAAGAGAACCTTCCATGCAGATACGATTTATGCGTTGCCGATCACCTGAGAGCCTTAAGTTGCTATTGCTCAACCACTACTATCGAGACGGTATATACTTTCTATTTATATGTATATATTACTCAAGATGTTTCCTATCTATAAATCATCTTCGGGAACAGCCCGAATTACTGCGATTTAATTGGAACATCGATTATCAGTAACTTGGTTTGTTGGTTAACTAGAATGCTATTCAGGTCTACATGTCTCCGTTTAGACTATTATTGAAGAAAATCAAGATTTGAGACCAGGCTTAACCTTGGGCCTAATTTCAATCGCCCAATTAATTTAATTATACTAGAATTAGATCATTTATGGGCGATTTTTCTACATTGTGAAATTATTCTCTGTTAGCTAACGGAGCTAGGGAATGAGGAGGACTGTACCTGTCAAGTCGGTCGGAGAAGCTACTTCGAAAAAAAAAACACAGTTGTATTTAACATTGTATAATAGCTTAGCCTGCCGTAGAAATTTATATGGGAATGTGACCACTTCGACAACGAAGACGTTCGTTAACTTAATAGCAAAAAATTTCAAAAAAATCACACATGCATCAAGAAGCTACGTTCTGATCTATGACCATCGACAGCAGGGTTATTGATTTGTAGCCAAATACGTTGACATTAATGCATACGAAGTCGTACGGTTCTATTCTGATCGAATAAAATGCACAATTTATTTAGTTTTCATTCGGGAAGCGAGCAAAAATTCTACTGAAGTCAATTCACTTCACATGTAGATCCGTGTTTAATGAATGGGGTTGAGTGTGAGAAATAAACTTGACAGGCACATCCTTCAGGTTGCACAGTGCAAGATCACAGGCTGCTGCGGCCTTCTATAAAAGTTGAAATAGTGCGTCAGTACTAAACTTGAGTGAAAAACGCAACATGAAAATATAGCTAAGAGCAGCTATATAATCTGTAAATCTTTGCGAACGGAAAGGCGGATTATGGTAACGGCCTGCAAAGATAATTGTTATTTCCGGTTGTTTCACAGCTAGTCATCGACAGTGCTGGCCTTCAGGCGACCCCGATGCTGACACCAAACGTCCTTGCTGGACTTTTTTTGTGACTCAACTTGTATTACATTTTGACAATCATTATTTATATATCCGTCTAGGTTTTTTTAATTTAAGCAAAACAAAGTACGTTGCTTGCTGCAAACGTTGCCTCTGAGTTTGTTGAAAAATTATATAAAGTCATTCTTAAGATGATCGTATTCATCGAATGCCAACGATAAAGCAATGTCCATTAATCTGGCGTCATTTGCGCAAAAATGGAGTCAGGAACAGAACATCACCAAAGAGCAATTGTCGTTCAGTTATAAGATCTTCGTCTGAACGCGGGTGTTTCTGGGTTTTGGCTTACAGACTACGACTGAAGTGTGCTATCAGTGCAATCTTTTCAAAATCTCGACCACTGTTTAATACGAAACTCATCCGAATTTCAACATGATGTCGAACTTGTCGATTTTGAGAAAGCAGGATAACCGGGTTACCGTCAAAGTGTTAGTGAACTATAATGGTGCTCGCTTCAATTGGAAAAAAAAACTAGGCAACGTTTCATACCGTTTGAGTGAATCATACCGAAGAATTAGACGTACACTATACTATTGTACTACGCGGTATTTGTTCTATAAGCGTACAATTGAACTCTGCGTCATGCAGATCAGCATAAGTAGACATTGCTGGAAACGATGTATTAAGTGCCTCGTATGTACAACGCCGCGAAAATCAATAGCCCCATTTTACTGTGTTCGTTTGTCTATGCAGTCGTGGTAACTGCTAAGCGACGACGAGGAAAATGCCCTCGCCACCAACGACAACCTCCTACAATTAAACCCTCTGAATCTATTTAGCCTTTCGTATATCAGCGTAATTCGATGCCTCTGTTACTTAATATCTTCCTTGCCAACAGGTCTGGGTTAAGTCAGACAACTGGCTAAATGGTACCGGCATTGACATATTGTATCGTCTGTACAATGTTTTACTCAAAGCCGCCATAATGGCCTAAATTGAACTATTGCTTAATTCCGATCTGTATTGTTTAGCGTATGCGAGTGCCGACTAGCTCGCGCGACTAGCGTAGCGAGTGAAATTCAAGCAGAATCGATGACGTATGATGACCCACCGAGGGTCCGCCGCGTTCTCATCTGTAAAGCTACTCCATTAATAAATGGGCCGTGACAGCGCAGTGTCAGGAATCTTCTCCCTGACACGGGTTGAGAAATATATAACTACTCATATAGTGCGGTGCCTCGAAATCCTTCGTATGTAGGATACGCGATATCTGTGCTCTATACGGCCATGCAAGGCATGCGATAAACTTTTCCGGAGGAAAACACATTAAGAACAATTCCCTTATTTCACGCTGGAAATGGCTTTGAAAGCTTAATTTTGAATTTTTTGGTATAATATCAAGATTGTAGATCTTCGTCTCCAACGGCGAGTCATTGGCGAATACAAGGGAGCATTTTTCTATCGAATGTATCTGATACAGAAATTAAATACCACCAAAGACAGTACGGTGGGGTCCTTGAAAAGCTTATTTGTCATATGGTAAAATTAATATTAGATCTTACTTGTACGAGAATAGGCATATGTAACACGTTTCAATAAGTTTCGAAGCGTGTTTTTATCGATTTTTTCATTTTACATATATATATATATATATATATAGATAGATATATATAGTTTCAGCCGGAGTGCTCGATTCACGGCTTGATACGAAGCTATTAGGTCAGCAGACGATTAGAATACCCAAAGAACCATTGAACTCACTGATTTTATCCTTTCGGTGGGTGTGAAGTTTCAGTTCAAGTTTCTTTGATAAAACTCCTACCGAGCAGAGCACACAGAAAAAAACAAAACGACTGCTGCATTTAGCAGAAGTACTGTTTCTAAGTAAACTAGACTTCGCTCTACACAGTAAACATCCTTATGGTCAAAAACAAAATCATAATCAAAAAGATGTGCATTTGATATATATAAATGTATGCTTGATGTACAACGTCCGAACCTGGACTTGACAGCCTTTTTGGATGAAAGTATTTGGTTTGTTAACGTCCCTATGTTTGATAAATGGTGTTTAATGCCGTAGACTTTCATTAGTTATGTTATTGGCGTCCATTTAAGCTCACGGAACTTTTTTTTTTGTTTTTATGTATGATTTTATAAAGTATAGCGTATAAAGCTATCTTTATTGCAGAAGGCTATACTGATTTAAGATCGATGAGAAGAGATAGTGGAGAAAAACCTGACGGAGCCTGCATCAGCCTTAGGGCGGACGCGTTTTGTGTCTGTGGTTTAGTAAAAATGGCCTGAATCTAGCTAGTTAAATTGGTTATTCAAGTTGCTCGATATAAGTTGAGAACTAAGCACCTGAAATATATATGAGCCGGTTTATTTGTAATTATAGACCACATCTTTTGCGTCGTAAAGAAGTGTTGCACGCTCTTCATGCAGATATTCCTTATTGTACCAAACAAATCTGGTTACTACACACTGTGTTCAGGCAAAGGGTGCCTCTTGCGCCCCCTTTTGTTCTCTGAAGATAATACTTTTCATACGCATTATGCTCGCAAACTACTAGCCAGGCTAAACTGCTCCTTTTTTTTTAATGGCTAAAAACGTAGATAAGTGGTCCCGTATAACCGTGTACTTGTCCCAAACACGCCTTGTCGTCGACAACGCGCATTGTTACATAATAAACTCTCGCCGTTACCTATTATTTAAACAACTTGTATCGCTACCAAACTCTGAGGTTATTTTTAGTGCCGGCCGGCCAACTGTGCTCTTACTTTATAGTGTTTTTGAAGAGAATGATAGATACACAGAAAGTTTATTATTACTAGACATTATTTTACGTGTCACTGTCCACTGTCAGATACTGAGCGGGGTAAAAGTGGCATGAACTACGGCATATGGAAGATGCATATTCGGTTAGCTTCTAACTGCTAACTAAGTTACTTCTTGGTTTTTGAAACGTGAAATTATTGAAATAGCAGTTATGGATATAGATTGTTTTCTCAAAATGTGTACAACTCGAATGACATAATTGTCAAGACGTACATGTACAGCCAACCATAAACAAGTGACAGTGTGTCTATACGCTGTGCGCCTTGAAGGAACCTATGCTTTCATATACTAGCTTATTTTAGATAGAATTTACCTGATGAATAAATTGAACAGGTAGATTAGAAATAAATAAAAGGCCACTCGGGTTAGGAGACAATTACATTTGGATCTAGATAAATATAATGCAGAGTTACTACAGAAAGATGTTTCAACTACATGCTCCATGGTTGTTATGGGGATCATGTAGCCTATACTATTGTGCTGCTTGTACAACAACTTATTTCTGTATGTTCCGCTTTTTTCTGACCTTTTTTCATGGGACTAAGGCGGAAGGCTGCAGTTTGACAGTTGGAGGGATTATGGGTCCAGCGGGTCCAGTCGGGGGCGCCGAACACTATGCTTCAGCGCATAGTATTTTGAGGCACATGAGTGACAATACCCTACAGATGTGGGCTGCGGGCGGCCGCCTCGGTCCCCACACGGACGATGCGCATGCCATTACAAGTCCCGTCTTCGTTAAGAAAACCCGGCCCGCTGACCTACAGGGAGATGCCCTCAAGGCTCAGGACTTCCAGGTAAATGTAGCTAAAAACTACATATGAATTATTGCTACACACGTACTAATTAGAATCTATAGCACGATGAGAGTCGTGGTCTGTTGTAGTTAATAAAAATAAGACATTGTCCTAATGGGCTTTGTCTCGAGCTAAGGTAATCCATCAATAGACCAAATTGCAGTAATCCCAGTGCCCATAGTATGGCAAAACAAAGCCTGACGGATCCCATAGTCTTGGTCGCTCTTCTCACACTCTTCTCAAAGCGCTGGCATATGTCTACTGTCGCATTTCGTAATTCGACAGATCTGCGTGACTATCATCGAGGCACGTCACCTGGCCGGCTTGAACATGGACCCCGTTGTCTGCGTGCAGGTGGCCGATCAGAGGAAATATACCTCCGTCAAGGAGTCGACAAACTGCCCTTACTACAACGAGGTACTGATTATCAGAACATCCCCGATCTATTTCGTTATAGGGAACAGAATAGTCACTTTTTATTCTCTTTGGGCAAACAATGATAGGAAAGAAGAAACTTACGTAGCCATTACTCTATTCTAACATTATGGCTTTATTTGAATGTCAGTATTTTGTGTTTGACTTCCACTGCGCGGAGGCGGTGCTGTTCGACAAGATGGTCACCCTGACAGCCCTCCACTCGCGCAACATCATCCGCTCGGGTAAAGTTATCGGAAGCTTTAAGCTCGATGTTGCGACGATCTTCCGTCAGCCCGGTGGGTAAATCGCGACTTGGAGCTGGATTTTATTGAATCAGAAAAAAAAAGCATCTCAATTTACTGCAGCCGAAATAAAAGAATTAGGCAGTAAACCTTCGCCACCTTGTTTATCCGGGTCACGAAAAATTTTTAAGCTCGGATTATTGGTATTAGTGCTTTTAGGCGCAACAGTGATTATTTAGTCGACAACGATCCTATGTTCGCCAAAAGGATACAAATGTCATTACTCACCTTAATGCGCTCGATAGCATAGAAGGCATATCAAACTCATGTGTCGGGTTGACCAATACAGTCTCACTTAACTGTTCACAGAATAAGTATCATGGAGCATAAAATAATGTATGTTTGTTTTTTTTTTAGGTACAATTTTCAGTTCCCGTAGCTTTCTATAAAGGCGGACTAAGGTGGACACTTAATAGATAGAAACATGTTTGTATGATCCGTACGGCAGACATGTACATGATTATCTGATTATATTAGCCTACTCGAAAACTAGAAACAACAGTGATAATGCTTCGAGGCTGTTGACGGAGATTGAGTACAATGCCCTTTATTTTGACGATAGTGACCGTCTATTGCAGACCACCAATTTTGGCACAAGTGGGCGGTGCTTACGGATCCCGACGACATGAGCGGTGGACCGAAAGGATACGTCAAGTGTGACGTCGCCGTCGTAGGAAAAGGTGAAGCTGCCAAACCGCCGGCGAGTCAGAGAGGTGGCAACACCGCCAATGCCGAGCAGGACGACGATATCGAAGGGTAGAAGTTCAGTAGAGTCTTTCTAAACCATTCCGCCACATCGCGTTCCACCTATTTTTGTTTTGTTTGCTCAGTCTAGCACCACATAAATGCATGGATATTTTTTTTCATGGTTCAACAGGACGTCGAAAAACTTGTGTGAGAACATTAGGCTGGTGATTCCTGATGAACGATAATTTCTCTAGACCGATGGAAGAACTAATAATTAGGTCATGTAGTTTTTTGCGCCCGTTTTTTATGACGAACGAGCTCTGTTTGAAACAACTACTTATGATCCGGTGTCAGTTCGTCCTAACTGATACCAATAAAGAGAGCATCCCTAGATAAGAAACACTTAGCATTATATCACTTTTTACTGCTCATTGATTTCTTCAAGTTTGCAGAACTTTGATGACTTAACTTTGCTGCCCTAGATCCTCCCGAGGTTACATCTGTATACGGAATCTATTTGATTGTTTGCAGCAAACTGATATGGAACTCTTGACAGGCTGATCACCGTCATGAAGATTCTTACCGGTACTTTCCCAAAAAAATGGATAATACTATCCATTTACTGGTTTTGTCACTCGCTGCTGAAGAAGCTGAACCTCACGAAATGTAGGAACTTTACAGCCAAGACCTTGCTTGTCTTTTTTTTTTTCACAGATGCGCAGGCCCTCTGCGATCTTACTAAAGGTGGAACAGGTTTCAATTGACTAGTTATACAAAATTCCTTACTTATGTTAGATCTTACGGACTACTGTTAGAAGTTGATTGTTTGTGAAGCCAGGCGTATGTAAGCGAGCGTACGATTGCATGGGCCCAAATGTTCTATAGCTGGTTCTACTGCTTGACATAAGAAAGCTTTTGATATAAAAGCTAACTGCACTGTGAAAAATTTTTCGTACCTGAAAAAAAATTATATCCGTCAAATGTACTTATCTGTACGTTATCACTGACTTAAAAATACATTATCGTTTATATACATTCTCGTCGAGCACCCATAAAGCGTATCTCGATAAAAAAGGTCTGCCTATACCCCGCTACTACTTAAGATAATTCCTGTCGAATGACATTTATCGCAGCTTAGGATAGTAACACTGACGCGTTCTTTACCTCGACTCTAAAAATTCAATTCAGGGCTTCCTGTGTCTAGTTGTGCGACCAACTGGTCTCATAACCTCAAGATAAACACTCCACTTCAGTATGTTTGGTTGTAAAATCCTTATAGTTTCAAAATCTCTAGTGGAATACGGATTATATCGGTGTCATCAGCACATGAAAACATAGCATCCTTATTTTCCACTTGGGTACCTGTCAAACAAGTGCATATAATAAATATTTAACGTTCAATATATACGGCAGATCGTTTCCGTGTGTCTCCTATTTCCCTGATTATTTATATATTCTATGTTGTGTACTGTATGGTCCATAAACTGCATCATGGATTTCGTTGCTTTCATATATTCTCCAGATATACGCACAGACTGTTGTTGATTTATTTACCACTTCCATATAACTGGAAGATAAATGCTATTTTTAATCTGCCAGGGGAATACGAATTATTTGAGAAAGGATTATATTAATAATAATTATCATTAGTGAACCGATTGACCATAGTGATCTTGAGTAGATAGAGCTTGTATGTTCGAACAACCTTGATTTACTATCTATTTGTAAATTAGGAAGTCGAAGTAAAGTCATGACGTCTCCTCTTAACCTTTAGCACGAGGCAAGGGTCTACGAGCAGAAAGCACCGTTATTTTCTCGCAAAATAACCTAAATGGTCTTGATTCACGCATTAAAATGTATCGAGATTGCCACGTTCGGCTGTTTTGGACGTTAGTTCTACGAATCATGCAAGGCCATGTCGTAGGTATAAGGAAAAACCTGAAGGACACAGCAAGCCTGAAGGGGCCGCTCAAGGTACCCATGTGATGTCGTCAAGAGACCAGCGCGACGATTATAAGAATTGGATCTTCTAGGTCCCGCGTATAGCTCCGATTTGCAAAAGCAGAGCAAGGAAAAGTATCGAAAATCATCTAGTAGAATTGCAGATATTAGGCGACCTCTCTAAAGCGTCTTTCCAGGCCTGCGTTCGAAGAAATATATAGCTATCCCTTCTAAAACATTTTTTATCCTGCAAAACTTACGTCGTTTACAGCTCAGCCGCGCGCTTAAGTATTATGAGTCCGCCCAGTGGCGATGTGTTTGTATTGTACACACATCGAGTAGGTAGGAGGAAAATATTTCTAATTGAAGCAGAAGAACAGATTAATATTATTGCTAGATATGTGAGGCCATATCGAATAGGATAGATCGTACTGTTCGTCGAACAACTCACAAAGTACATTGGCCTAGTGGATACAGAGAGACTTACATTTGGGAATATCAAGATACGCCAAAGCACGCGCGAACAGCTCCAATGTTATATATATTTTACTGAATTGAAATAACCCGCTTTCAATTTTCGTCGGACCACCGGGGGCTGCTATTTTGACTACACTAGAAAAGAACCGAGCGAAAAAGCAGCAATAACTATTTTCTCGCTTGATCGCCACCAGCAATACACGTTTGGACCAAGCGTCTCACGTATACTATGTAAGTCCGTGCGTTTTGTGATTAATGTCTTTACTTCCGTTGCAAAGGCCGACCTTACGGCAGAACTGCTTTTGCCTCTTACACCCTTGATGGAACTTTCGAGTAAACGAACCAAGCTGTAATTAGCAGAAGATTTCCAGGCGGAGGTCGTGAATTCAGCAAAGGGAAAGTAATCACTCATACGCTTCAGTCTGATCGGGAATCATAGTTAATAAGTCGCCACAAAAAGAGAGCACGATGCCGAAAAAACTGGGATAGAATCGTAGAGGAGAAACTGCCGTCGCAGTATCCCCGTACGATCAAAGCTCAGATGTTAGGACGCACACCGCTTTGCCTGCCAAGTAGGTCGAGTCATTTGGAGTGAAGATGGAAGGTCAGGAAAGGCGGACTGTGTATTACAGCATGTAATGACAATGCCTAAGGAGCAAAGTCCTACAGTATCAAGCTAAGGAATAGCTTCAGCATAGTATAGTTCTGGAACAAACGTCTATGCCGCTCAGAAGACTCACAAGCACACATTAAAATAAGCGAAGTACGAGCAGGAGGGCTAAAGTTTTAACGACTGGTTGCGGAACACGCGAAGCGTAGATACAGCTTGTGTCATAAGCCCTAAGTGTCTAGGCAACCATTACAACAATATATTCGCGTCGCATAGTACCATCTCTTACTTGTCGGCCTATTATCTAAGTGCTCTGTCTCAGAAGGATATAGGTCTTAACAAGTTCAGCTGAAGGAAGATTTCACGGTGCAAGATCTGCGCGAAGCAAGGCAGCGATTCGCGATCAATAGATCCTCGAGTCTGGATAACCTATGGAACGGACAAACCGTTCAAAAAAAGCAGTTCTACTGGTTTCATGTTGGATGAACCTATCCAATGCTTGCTTGAGTGCCAAAAGAAAACCAACGGCATCGAGCGAAGATTTACTGTCGTTGATCCCAAAGGGCGAAAGATTACCAACAGAAGTATCACCCTGGCGAGGTGTAACTAAAACAAACTAATACTTATGAGCTTCTACTAACTCTTCTAACACACCGACTTGTGCCATATCTCGGCTATAAAGAAACATTGCCGGATGAATTTCGGACAAACCGATCGATCGTATCAGCCTGCTCAACATTCTCAGACGATGTTGAAAGCGTATTGTTAAGGAAAGAACAATACTGTGTTTATGAGCTTTCGATGAAAGAACTACTTTGGGCGAAAAGCTTGTACTACGGTTCAATAACATCAATCCGTAGTCTAGACAAACGGGTTTCTCTAGGGAAACTGGCTCTAGTATAATAAACGTCGCATACTGCCACAACGAATAACAAGTAGACACTCATCAGTGAAGTCGTAACATACGCGGATGACTATCCATTATATAAAGATAGCCGATCTGCAATAAGCGCTATCGATTTCAACTAAAATGGCTGCGGCAACTAATACACGGACTAACTAAACTAAAGCAACCGGATATAGTAATAGTCATTCGGTAGCGAAGTCTGATTCACTTTGATCAAGTCGCCTTACATGTGGACAAATTTGCCTATTTGGGAATAACGCTAACTTCAAGCGTGAAATCGTTCAGAATTTACGCCTAAGAGAGGGTACGCAAGAAGCTCTTAGAAGGAATTAAACTGCGAAAAACTATGCGCTACGGATCTTGGATGCCCAGACAAAATCGACAAAAGTGTTCCGAGCCTTGATGGTACGCCACGAACCTGCTGGTCTAAATGTTTGCAGGTTGACCGCCCTCTTCGAAATCTTCGAAGACAGCATGTATTGACTGATGTACTAGGATACCAACAATTTATTAAATACTATGAAAAAAAAATTGGCCGGCGTTACTTCGAGCAAGAGCAACGAAGTCACGAGTATGACGATGTGTCCATGGGAAACCGTTACATCGTGACGAAATGCGCAGTCCATTTACATTGCCCAGCCGGCGGTTACCAAGAGTCAAACATTATCTATTCTTGGAGTATACTGTAAATTTTCTGCCCTCTATATCACGGATGTTAAACGAATGTTGAATAATAACGTCCGTGTTAGTATTAACAATGACCACTTGTTTTTGTATTACATAATTAGCTCAAATCAAAACGTACGACCGACTGATCTATAGAGCATGTGTCTATACCCGGTAAATGCAATCGTATTACACATGCTGTTTTTAGTTTTTGGTCACGAATAACTGGACTTTGTTTCAAAATATTCGCCGCGACGGAGTCGTACTTACAATCTCTAAAAATCAGACTTTCAGTGACCTTTCAAAGCGTCATAAGCTTTATGTTCGTAGCTGGCCTGTGCTTTTATGAGTTCAAGTTCTGTTTCTTTTTGGTAACAACTGGATTGCCTCAGTGCACTGCGATTATAGGAATAAGTCTGATGTTACGTTGTGTCTACTATTCTTATGTAGATTCTACTTCATAGAGCTCAAACCGGACACGAAATTTTAGGACATAAAATTTAAAGTTTCGTTATTCAGTGTAGACAGAACCTCTGCTGAACGACATACTATCCCGTTGAAAACGGACAGGGCCTGTAGAGCTAATAGTGAATCTGTATCCTAAGCATTTTTAATGGAACTATGTAAATTAAGAGTCGTCTTTAAAAGGGGGTTTAGTGGTAGCCGCAAATAGGTATTGGCTGATGCCTGTTGTGCGGCTATTCACGCGTTGATATACGACGATTTAAACGACAGAAACTCTAGTTCCAATGACATTATAATGAAATGCGCGCCGGGTGAAAAAGGTTAGTTTGCAGGCTTATCCGGATAGGGAACGACATTTCACTACAACCCCTCTTCGGACTTATGAGGCTTTGATGATACATGTTCCTATAATGAATCAGTCTGCGTTACAACTACATCAGCATCAGAAAGGCATGGGGCAACTATCATACGGCAGTGTACATAGACATTATTGTAAACATAATCACGAACTAAAGAAGAAAGAAAGGATTTCACTCGCTAAAAATTTGAATTAGGAAACAAAATGTTGTCCAAAAAAGTAGCCTTCACGATATTTGCGCTCCTGTAAACACCAGAAGTCGACTCGTACAATTATTTTCCAATTAAATTACTCTTTTTAATTAAATTCCCAATTGAAAGCTGAAAAGAATCGGCTTTGGTTAAACGACGAAGGCTGAAAGATCAGGGCTATACAGTATCCAACTAAGAAAGTAGCAACTAGGAAAGCTGCTCAATTCGATCGGAGATTTGTATCTATCTTTGTATACTGCAAACTCTCTACAAACTTGTCCCAGAGCTGGTCGAGCCAAGGCGTTAGCAACGCAAGAAAATCCTCTGTTGGGCATGAATACTCGTGATTGCGCCTAAAACTATTTTGCAAACATCCGTACGCTTTTCGCAGCTTGATCTTCCACAACATTCTCGAGCACCTAGCCAGAGGGTAACATTTACAACCTACAATACGACTATACAGTATAATATATCGTTAGGTTTTTGCTAAGTAACAAGTTCCTAAAACCAGAGACGACTATACTTAGGACATATTTGTGTTAGCCCCACGCTAGACGATTCTTTTTTAACAACTACTTATATACCGATATTATAAGAGAGATATTATACAGGGACAACGGTACCGTATTACAAGTAGTTCGATGATATGATCTGCATAAAACGCATATGGCTCGTAGTAACCGTCTACTCCCCAAAAGATATCATGAAATCCGCGTATTGCATATTTAATGACTATGTATGTAGCGATTTACTCATCATTCACACCTCAGTTCGGGGAATAACGGAGTAATATCAGTTTATATATATATATATATATATATATATAAAGGAATTCATTTGCTCAGTACTTTAGACTGGTACAACATAATCCTATAATGTATACATGACATAGTCAGCATGTGGTCTTTACTCATTATTATATTAACATTATTTGTTGCGCGATTCGTTCCTTCTGCAGAAATCTCTTGCTACCAGAGGGAATGCCCTTAGAAAGACAGCATGCACGTTACATCGTCTCAGTGCACGAAGCTGATGGGCTACCTCGTGCGAGTGGAGGTAACTTCGTGGCTTCTGTGAAAAAAGTTCTTGTTCAGGACAACCAGCAACAACTCATCAACACCTACGTACAAGTTTCTTTTGCTGGCCTTACCGTAAGTATGAGGAACAGATTGAACCTTACAGATCACCTATTTTTTTTATGTGTGTATATACATATGACGTCCATTGTGAAGCAACTGATCAAGATATTATTCGTTACCTGATTTACGTATCGCGTAGGGCAAGACATCAGTGAAGAAAAGCTGCTGTTCGCCTGCTTGGAATGAGCAGGTTGTGTTCACTGAGATGTTTCCGCCTCTTTGCCAACGAATTAAACTTCAGCTGCGCGACAACGGACCTGTCAAAGACGCCGTCATCGCTACCCATTTTATCGACATTTCCAAGGTAAAATTTTGTCTGAATTCTAAATTCGTTTAATGCTTTAAAAATCGATTCGGTTACAATTGTATGCAAAAGTCACCTGTATATCGCCTATATGTAAAAGTCAGATAACAGGTGTGAAGAAAGTGAACATTTTTTATATAATTTTATAAAAAATCGAAATTTTATGTTTTGATTATTATTTTCATCTGTTACAGTGGCTTTTCGAAAATTATATATACCATAAAAACGAAGTTCGAAGCTATGGCTAAATTCGTAGAAGTTGTGGATTTTATTTTACCGAGCTTTAACTCATTGTTATTTTGGCATTGGTCATCATTGCACTTTTTTGAAAATAAGTAAATTAGTGCTTATACGTAATAAACATTGTTTCATTTTTTAAAAATATTGTTTACATTTTCATGTTGGAAACATGTTAAATGTTGAAATGTCAAGTAGTTGACAACATGGAGATTTGGGTTTTTGGATATTCATACTACCATTGTCCCCTTTGCTTTATTTTAATAAGATGAATGAGATCAGTATAAATCAAACACTCAAAATATATCCCATTTTTATTATTTTTTCATAATTTATTACTTTTTAAACTTTAATAAATTACAATTACAGGCTAGGTAGGCCAAGATATGGACTACGCTATAGGCATAATTTTCAAACGGAGATGTCAAACTGTTCCCATTGTGGGCCTTCCTTCTTTTATGGAGAGCTGTCTAAGCATCATGGATTATCGATAGATAATGCTACTTTTACTATAAACTGAACAACTTAAAACGTTCGTTTAAATCAAAAACGAGAGCACCATTCGATAAACCTTAGCCTGTTCTGGAACAGATACGTGACGTTCATCGATTACTGTTGTAGTATTTTAAACTAAGACCCATTACAACGATTTAGCTTATAGTGGAACCTGAAGTAGATGACTAAACTTCAACCTTTGTACTACAATGAGCAAGCCAAATGGATCATTGGGCATCATCAAACATATAATTAATGCAATACACCTGTATACGCTAATTATATTTGCGAGAAGATAACTATATCATATGAAACGAGCGGTACGATTTTCTTCAATAAAAATCGCCTAAATGAGATGAATTACTTCAAATTTTTCGGATACAGGCTACGCTTCCTGTGTTGAACAGTTACCATTTGTATCGTGAAGCCTCACCACATATGCTTCTTAAATACTGTTTCACATAAGGAAATCAATAGCCTCCCAACTCTGCTGAAACGGCAAGCGTGTTCTGTTTGCTGAAGCGTTTGATACTATTTAAGTTGAGCTCGAACAGCTGCAAAACAAATCATAAACTATGTAGACACTTGACAACACCCCTCAGCGTTCCTGTTCTCCTTGATACTATGGCATTTCGGTACTTTTTTAGTATACGACTGCCCGTACGCTCTATGGGAATACGTGCAACGGTGTGCTACCCTTGTTATAACAGTATAATTACTATTGTAATTTTTGTTATAGCTAAAAGTGCAACTAGTGATTTAATGACGAGCTCTCAGCCATAAATTCTATGATTCTAATACTAACTAAACGATGAATCGGAGATGTTGGTCGGCGTTTTCTTAGTCATCAGATGACATTTGTCGCCATTTGTAACTAGAACTTAGGAAGTATTAACTATGCTGGTGAATTTCGTTCAACTGAAACGATAAGTTCTTTTTTTTTTTTTTTTTTTAACTCTTTGGTCGAGTGCAGTGTCACTTTGTCTAATGGAAAATTTATATAAATTAGAAAAATAGGGAATTGATCTGTATCATTTACTAATGCTACGGACATTCGGTTCGGGAATAATTCTGTGCCGATAGGCTTGCTTGACGACCCGAAACTTAATAATTTTGATAAAGATGAATCATTTTCCTCTGCTTGGCGTAATCGATGGCCGATTACGCCTGCCTAATACACATAATCTTTCAGGCTAATCTATACCTATTGCTGATTGCTTGTTGGCCTCGCCGGCCCGCTACTAACTATTATACAGCTGTGCAGAATTTTATCCCAGTTCTGCTACTAACTTAAAATGTTACGAGTGTTATTATTATTGCTACTACATTGGCCTTGTACACATGTATCTGTTATTAGTGTATATGACCTTACTCAAAATTTTTTGCCGAGGTTTAAACATTCATTTCGCTCCAAAAAAATCTATGTTTGTTCCGGCGAAAACTTCTTCTACATACGGATAAAATTCCATAACAATCCAATGCGATCTAGAGGATTTTCTATGAGGTTAAGTCTATGTGTTGGGCGTTCTGCGATTTTTTCTAGATAAAGTACTGCGTGTGTATTAGGTGTTATGTAACAGATAAAATTAACTGCACAGACACCTTGGTGATGTTGAAAAAATCAGACACTGAGCGAAGCTCAAGTAAACAGGTAGTTCAGGCGTTTCGAGAGTGGACAGGGTCAATTAAAAGCGGTACTCCCTATCTTGAAAGGCCTGTGACAGGGATCACGGACAAAAAAAAGTGCTAAACGTGAAACAATTTGCGCCTACCAACCGCCGACTCACCATAAGAAAGCTAGCAGAAAACATATAGCTCTCAATCGGCTATTGTCAGACAAACTGACTAACTATTAAGATAAAATTTGTGCTGAAATAGCCGAATGTCCACCAGACGAATATCCATGAAAAGTGGCATCCGGAAAACCCTTTGATACTGCTAATTTCGCCTGAGCACCTTACTATGGATGATCATACGTGGGTGTACGACTGCAGGTTTGAAAACGAGCGCCGACCGAAGAAAGTAGCACAATTTAGACAACAAAATGAAGGTGCTTCTCACGGTTTCGTTCGATCGTCGAAAAATCGTTCACCATGACCCCACAATCATCGAAAGGCATCTGAAAAGGTTTTCAGAAGATTGTCCGAACCTGTCAAATGTCAGAGACCGTAATTGCGGTGTAACAAATCACTACGATGCACCGGTTCGCGCTTCATAATTCCTACAACAGTTTTTGCAAAGAAACTCGCTCCAGCCCCCGAATGCACCAGATTTAGCCCTCTGCGACCTTCTCTTCTTCCTTCAATTAAAAAAAAAATTATTAATTAAGAGCCCGGGGCAATTGGAAAAATGCTTAGAGAACCAAAAGAACGGTGGAACAAGTGTGCCACACCCGAAATATACAACTTCCATTGGGATGATTAAATAGATGGTTAGCTTGTTCTTTTTTGTCCAAAGTTCATTTGCATACTTCTAAAGCTCCATGTCTGTCTATGGGATCGAAATCGTCTCTTTAGTGGTGGGCTGACTTTTTTTTATTAGTCAGTAACATTTCATCTTTGGAAGAGTTGCTCGTAAAATAAAGCCTATCGTATGTGTGCAGCAATTTGAACCGTTTCGATCCATAATGATTCACATTTTTTACTAGGATAAAGCATTTTTTTTTCTGAAACATATGGTTAATTGAAATAGAAAAACAGCACAAATGCGGCAGGGTATCGGGGTACGTTGTGGTACAAGTTTGGACCCGAGCATGGAAACGTTTGGTTTCGTGTAGGAGGCCAGCCGTCTAATGGAAATCCTAACGGTGTAAAACCAGAAACATAGATGGCATCTAGTTTGCAACAACGTTCCAACAAGAGGTTGAGGATGACTACGGTGTTTAGGTTGGGTGAATTTTCGAACTGTCACCGAGTGGATTAATTTTAGATGCATAAGTGGCGTACAATTTGTACGGCTTCATATTGTTAACATCAATGTTGCATCGTGCATCATATCAACAGATTAGTTTCAACATAGCATGGATTATTATTATTATATAGCATCAGCAGGATTTTCAATCGCTCGATCTATTACCCAGAATAGGTCATTTCCATAGCATAATGGAGTAACTGCAACAGGATCTAACGAAGCAAAACGGACACCTGTTAGGGTGCAATTAAACAATGAATTTAGGCTGGGTGTAATAGAGAACAATAATAATAATAATTTGCAGGAGCATTGGAATATTCTAATGGGTGAATGGAACACGTAAAGCAGAGTAAGTATCATACGCGAAACGCTGCTAATAGATTGACCGAATGAAACAACGAGAATTACAATAGCCTGATAACGAGATATAGGTCTAAAATCAGGTGGGAGCTTGTTTAGTCATGCGCAAAACGAATCGAACCTGGCTATATTATTGCTTAGGGAAATAACTTCAAAAGGGGGTAATAACAATGCAAGAAGCTACTGTTCATGCTGGATAAGTCGTGGCAGTAATGAATCACATTAATTAAGTGAATAGGCGCGAGTCTACATATACATTAACACATTTTACATTATTGCACGCTGTCCCTCATGTTTAGTAAATTCTATCGAACGGAGGTTCAACTCGTTTCAGCCACAATTCTCTACGCAAAAGTTTTGCGCCGAACGCTGGTGGTATTCGTGGCTCGCTTAATCATGACGCGCAAATACGTCCAGCTCTTAAGTATGCTTTATGTTGTGAACAGATATCAAACGATGGCGATAAGGGTTTTCTACCGACATTTGGACCATGCTTCATTTACCTCTACGGATCAGCACGTAGTAGCGATTCGGTATTCCAGCGAGAGAGTGCTCACGCTCCGTTGAACGACGGATTGGCGGAAGGTGTCATGTACAGGTAAACAACGCACCTGTGCACATCTGCATATCTATTGCACATAATGGGTCGTACGGCTGGCTGGCTGGCTGGCTGGCTGTATCGCTAATCCAACTTAATCAGTGGGATACTAAAAATTAGAATAAATAAGAGTCTAATATACTATGGGCCATTAATTGCAAATCTTAGTATTCCAACGTGTATAATATTGAAGGTACTTGTCGTAGCTTAGCGAATCTTGGCTGGTACAACTTCTCCGTCATTTAGACATGTTCAAAAATAATCCATGTCTTAAATCAGTCTGTAGTTAAATTAATGTTAAAGGTGATTTGTCTCAGGCGTTTTAATGATCTTTGACGCTTGAATACGTTATAGCATTCTTTTCTATGATTTCTCAATCTGTCCTTGATTTCTAATAGATTTATTGTTATGTTTTTTTGTCATTTTATCGAACAATACAAGATGATGAGCTCATCAAAAACACGATCGAAGGGTCACTGTCTGTTTTAACTCCTATAGATTTTCGCTGATTGGTTTGCAACCAACTCTTCCGAATAAACATGGAATTTCTGTCTTAAAAATTGAACTTTAACCATTTAGATAAATACGTAACTATCGGAATACATGAGTATCAGAGAGAAAGGTTTTTAACTGAAGGTATTATCTGAAGCTTACTCAGATAGCTGGGCTGCGATGAGTCTCAGAAAATGTTTCCAGCTTTCACGATCGTATACTGTTGTTTAATTGTATAGTTTTTGGGACACTTAGATGAAGACGACGCAACTAGTGTTGATGCAGGCATAAACTATCTATTCGCGACCAGTAAAACCTTGATCTTTTCTTACGCAACCTACTTAGTTCGCTCATCACGGACAGCATTTTTTGCCATAAGTTAGTTATTCCTCGTCAATGATTTTTGTCCCGTCATGGTTTACTTACCATTTTTGTAGGGGTCGCCTGCTTGTATCTGTACGAACGCAGGTCTTACCAGATATGGCCGTAATGCAGCTGCCTCCCTCGGTTCACGTCGAAGCAGCTCCTCCAGTTGCAGATGATAGCAGTCAGGCTGTTAGCGCAGACTTCTTCCTTTCGGCAGTTGTTATGGAAGCACACATGATTGATAAACGATTTCAGGTACACACACGCTACGGTCTAATAGTATAGAATAGGGCCAGGTTTGCCGCTAGTTCAAGCTACCTAGAGTACTAATTATTAGATGAATAGGTGTGAGTTTTTCAAAACAATTTTTCAATGTTTACGAATAGTGGTTTAATGCATATGATTTGCTAGATCTATTTCCTATGTTAGACTTAGGATAGTTCATTTTTCAGGACAAACCGGTTCAGTTCGAACTAAGCATAGGCAACGCGGGCAATACGCTAGACGGCGAATGTGGATCCAGTGCGGCAGGCTCAAAAGAGTCGATTGAACCAGAATGGTGTTCGACGACTCCGGCAATGAAACCTGTTCTGGGTCCAGAGCCTAGTGAGCACCTTAACCTGCCATTTGGACATGTTAAGCCCGTTATTTGGGTTCGCAGTAATTGGCCCGATCACAGACGAAGACTCTATCTCTCAAATATGTTGTACAGGTGAGTCGTTCAAAGTACGATATAGCTATTTATTGTATGTACATTTAATAAGATAGTGTGAGGTGGAATGTTTCTATCTATCTATCTATCTAATCTGCCTATGAATTATTCTGAATACGTTTGTGGAAGCTTTGGATCCGATACCGTTGCGTGAGTCTTAATCGTGCTTGCCTTGTGATTAGAGGACTGGTAACTGCTAGCTATGTTTAAGGCTGCGGCCTTACCACACAGCCCACGCGTCTCTGTCGATTGACTAGCACAAGAATTGTGTGAAGATAATACACCGTGTTATATAAATTGACTCATCGTCGATACCGATAGAAGCTGAACCTTTCAACATTGTTGTAAAAGGAAGACCCAGATATATTTTTGTTACTATAATACAAGGAAGGCAAGATTTGCTTTAAATTGCATGGTTGGGCTATACATGCGATATCTAGGGTTCACTGTGAGAATAGTCTGTTGCTTGTTTTTGCCTTCGATGTGTATTATACAATAGCATAGTCCCGCCTAGTCGTGTTGAGCTACAGTATACAGAACAAAATGAAGCTAAATTCGAAAAGAACGTTTGGAGAAGACAGATTCTGCCGGTGATCTACCCAAAAGGCCTTATCAGTAGAAGATCAGTTGCCCCGCGTCCTGTCGGCGTAGCAACTGATTTTCTCGACTAATTCGATAGACAATGGCTGCAAATACGTAATTGGGTTGGGCCCTTCACTCAGGGCGGTATTTTGTGTTCGAGAGGCAAAAGGGAACAAAGCAAGGTTTTGGAAGAAGACGCTGGACTTTCCTCTAGACGTGTATCTCATAGATAACAGGTGACTCCAGGAGGGACTATGGAAAAGCAGATGGCTCCCGTCACACTGTAATTAGCTTTGGTTAAGTGTGGTATTTGCAATGGTGGCTTCTGCCTGTGCCGTTGGTGACTAGCGAGCGGGTAAGACAATGACTAGAATACGAAGCCAAACTAGGTATAGATGGTTGAAGCCAGTAACAGAAGAAGAAGAAGAAGCAAGATGAGGGCGGGACATAAACAACAAGGGTCAATGAGTGCATGTTGCAGGTCAATATGGCGGACACCAACGAAACTCTTGTTGAAGGATGGTAACCATGACAACGAGGCATATAAGCACGAAATAGCCAAAAATCATGTGTGGCTAGCACGGTCGAAAGAATAGGCTAAGTCGAACTTATTTTGACTGTGTTTGCACACGTCGACGCGGCGATTGCAGATGATTGACTTAACGAGAGACGTCACTGCTGGCTTTAACCACTGCACGCTAGAAAAAGAATAGAAAAAAGTTTACATGTCGATAGGCTACATCATAGACACATCGACCTTTATGGGCTGCAGATAAATTAACCTAAAGGTTTTTTAACACGCTACAATGTGTTTAGGTTATCGCTCTAAAATAGATGTACAAATGTATTTAAATTCTGATTATGAAAAGCAAATTAGGGTGACCGGTATTCTATGATGATGAAGCTCCTAGTTTGCATACTGGTCAGTAGGTATAGCCTACGACGATATGATCCCAACTTACCCCCCCCCCCCCCCTGAAGAAGGATTTATTGTAAGATATAAAAAAAATACAAGTCATTTTGGTAATGAGTCGGCAAGCATTGTTAAGTCCATCTTTGAAAACACACGTAATTTTGTATATTGCCGTAAAACAGTAGTAAGTTTGAATCTGGGCTTTGCAGAACGCTTTGAATGCTCGTCGTAGGATGTTGTTACAAAACCCGTTTAGGAAATTAGTTAGGGTTAAATTTTAGTAAAAATAGCTGAGTCCACTCTTTATTAGCTAGCTATTTTCCTTTGGCTCTACGACTACGCTGAAAATCATGGCTGCTGTTGTCATCTAGTCGATAAGATCAGGTTTTGTATACCATCATAGATGAGTTTCAGTAGGTGACATATATAGAATATATGTTTCATACATCATATTGATGAAAACATGCCTATACCATATTTACGTAAATGATCGACCGAACTCTTCGATGACGCCTATACTGAAAATGTCTATTGCTAGTTAGGAAAGTAATGCATTGAAAATATATGGTATTTTTATCCATATGCCTAAGTAGTAACAAACTAGTAATGATGTATATAGCATAATCGGCCATTTTTCAAATCTACTTATTTCAAATGAACTTTAGCGAGAAGCTCAACTTTAAAAAATTCTACCATAAGCATAATATATTAAATAACTAAGTATTATTGATCGCTCATGTAACCTATCGGTTTTCTTTGAAATATCGGTATTACAGTTTTAAGTGGCGTTCCTTTGTAGAGCAAGTCCTACTCTCAACCTTGTGCACATACTATACTATCACACTATACTTGAGTCCTATACATGGTCCTAGTATACTCGTTTTCGCTAACGCCATCTATCGATAGCTTGCGTATCCTTAACTTGTCTGATCCCCTGTTAATTTCATGTTTTCATTTCACGCACGCGCAATTTCATGCACGACGATTCGATTGCTGTTCTACATCCCGTCTAGCTCGATACTATGTCCGCTATTCGCAGATAGTCATCAACGGTAACTAGGGTTCTATAATGAACTTTAGAAAAACTAATTATCTTTAGTCCAGGGCTGATATAAACGTCAAGAAGTTAAAAGCCTAATTTGAATGCGTTCGTGCCATGCGACCAGGGTAATTTCCCGTCGGTAATTTTCATAGAAACTGACTGTTGCCCAAGACATCGGCAGTTTTGTCATATTCAAATAAAGTTCGTGATAATCAGAGGACATGGTATCGACACTTATAGTATTAATGTCCATGATTGTCATTTTGCATATTTCGAAATTCATTTAAAATGTATAACCTCAGGATTCTCGAGCGACTGGATTTTGGGATGAGCGATGTGTTAGAAATGGTACGACTAGAACGAGGCGACGCCGATCGGAGACTGCGTGGCGTCCTGGAGCAGCTGTCGGCTGACTGCGTTGCCTACCTGCAGCACTACAAGCAAGAAAATCCTGTCAGAAGTAGCACCAAGGTAAGTCACGGAACATGATAGTAACTGTGTTCGGCTTCCGTTGGGAAATTGAAAATGTGTTGTTCTACGGTTATCGTGTGTCATTGGAACAAAGTTTTATTGACTGCTTCGCTGCACAACTTTTATCATGCTATTCATATCACATTTTATTACGTTTTTAATACAGGATCACTTCCATCGTACACTTCATACAAAATCGTCTCGGGAAATTGGCCTTTGTAAAGGGTATCGGCCTTAAAAAGATTTGGCTTTTAGAAGATTAGATCTTCAACGCAGCGGTTTTAACTGATATATCTAACTTAGCAAAACAATACTTGCGAATTTAGCCGGGCAACGCAAAATACAGTTAGGTACGTTGTGTGAAATGTGTGAAAATTGAGTAATCAATAGACCAGGGGCATTGACCTGGTTATTGCGTAGCTGAAAACGTGTTTTACGGTTTACGCGCAAAAGTTGTACATTTTAAAAATACTAAAAAAAATGAGCTTCGGAATGATCATTGCATTGCTCCCAGCTGAAAAGCTCTACGTATATACTTCATGATACAGCAAGCATATGAGTCGCGTGCGTATCTTGAAAGGACGGGCATGGTAAGTAGCAATCCGCATGAAACCGAGATGTGTATATCTTCAATCAGAGGTGCGATATCTTGCCCCGTTTTTGTCCTTCATCTTTAAACCGAAGCAGCGAAGCAAACTGGACCGGCAAAGGGAGCGACACTGTCAGCGCGAGATCGATCATATGGGCACAATGGCCCGTGCTATGCGGCCTCTTCTCAATCGGCACTCGTTCAAAGAGAAACTTCATACGACACAGCAGTTCTCTAGAAAGCTGCGGGACATCTGCGAGGATGCCCAGCATTCGCTACCAGACGTTTTCCTTTGGATGCTCGCCGCTGGACGCCGAGTCGCCTACCATCGAATCCCTGCTCGCCAGATTATCTACTCCCCTATCGATGAACAACGTGGGCCACTTTGTCATCGTAGACAAACAATACTGCTAAAGGTGAGATTAGAATATCGGTTTGTCGATGTCTGATACTATAATAAGGCCACGGCGTAGTAGGCCACTGAATCTATCACGATTGCCAACCTTTTATTTGTATATATACAACATTTCCTTAACAAGATAGCAGTAATTAATAGTAAAGGAGCCGGAATAAAATATTCGATTCCTGAAGATCAGTGCTGGCTTTTAATGATGTTTTGCTTCTACTGTCAGTGTTAGATGAAATACTGAAGTCTTTGTTTTAAGTAGACTTCACAGAGATTAAGGCCAGAGCGATGTAGGACTAACACAAACGAACTAACTGATTAAACGGCGTTCCGATTGTTTAATATCAAGCTAATGCTGGACCTTTGACAATATTTTGTACCTAGCAGCGTTATACTTTTACACCTGATTCGGGCCGTTTTGTGACCAAACAGGTGCGTATGTTGCGTTGGCAAAAGTTATGTGGCGTACATTGATTTGGGGCCATACTATACACTGTTGATAAAGAATACCGTACGTTTATAGACAAATGAACCAATAATTAGCGTCTTATCTAGTTAACAGCACGTTTTCGTCAATCGAGATCGTCGACTGGATATATACGCGGTGGCTCACCTGAATTTGGGCTTTGCCTACGTGTTGTTTCTAAGACTGTATCTAAACAAAAACGGGTATTTTAACGAAGTGGTCTGCATGTGGCGGTCAAATTTATTCAATATGGCTACCATTCATTGTAACTATAACTTTAATTTGGAACTTAAATTTATTATAGGTTTGTTCGGAATGTTCCTTTTACACATACGCGAACGCCTCCTTAAAAAAGCACGACTTGGTTTCCTCAACAACACCATATATATATATATATATATAGATATAATAATCCAGCGAATTCAGATCTGAACTGTACACATGTGCTTAAAACACGGTCATGTTTTTGAGCAGTCATCCCGGCGCTATTCAGTTAGTACGAGCGTGCGTACCATCTTGCTTGGAGACCTGTGGCCTTCCTTTAGACACTTCATTATACACGGTCGCGCGACAGCTCGTAAAACATAAATGTGTCTTCTTAATGCGTTCGCCTTTAGGGAAAAAATATTGTTGTATGATATGACCTTTACCAAACATCACTCTCAGATTAATCTCTCACATTAATCAAAAACTATATCCCTTGTATTCTTTGAACAGTAAACGAATTAGCAATCATTTCCGCGGTTGCCTCTTGCATCGATGATAAAAATTTGATTATTAGAAAAAAATCAAGTAGTGCTCTTGTATTCCTAAAGGGACTAAACAGTTAATGATAGAAATTGTATCACCTAGTCTTATGAGCCTTAGGGAGCTTCTCTTTTACGTTTAGGACACACGACTTGTACCTAAGGTCCCTGTCGAGAAGCCGTGGCATGGTTGTTCTACTCGCGTCAGGTTTCTCCGCTTACAACTTGACGAAAAAGGGCGATCGTCAGGGATGCATCTTTGGACGGTGTCAACTAATTCTCATATCCTACTGTCTTTTTCTCTGCCATGGACTTCTCGTCGTGCTATGCAAGAACATGCTTCTAATTACTTTGCAGGGGTATATTTATTTGTGATACCCTAGACTGCCGACTGAAGGTAACCTAAGAAGATCAAACCCTCAATGGAGGGTTCGTTCGCTGCGAAGAGACCGAATAGTAGCTGGTCTTCGGTCAAAGTGCGAAGAGGACGTACTGTTTTTGCTCATAGTGAACTTGCCCCTTTTGTTCTTGAAAGAACTAGTTTCAATCTAATACAAACGGTAGCGGATGACAAATAACCCGTCAAAGTTTTTGCGAAATTGGTGGGCCACTTTGTATATCTTTGTTCGACTAAAAACTTCGAAAATAATATAATACAATTAAAGATAGAAATATACGGACGAAAGAGAAACTACATTACTGCGATGACACACAAGCTCTTGTTACTTTTGTGAATGATGTACCGGAATTCATCGCGATCCCTAATGAATACACATCGGCATATAATAAACAACATGCCTCTATTGGTATTTAGAAAAGTAATCCCTCAAATAAGCGAGCACGTGAACGTTTCTCTCTAGTACTATTCTATACGTGACGAAGTCCATTGTATATGTGATATAGTAAGGAAAATATTACGGAAAATAAGGATACATGAGGACTTTCTGAACGGTGGAAGAACCGTTAAATATTTACACTCGGTGAAGCTTATGAACCTAAGAGATTAGCTCAGCTGGATATTGAGGCAACGGTACACTTTGACACCCGACAGCTAGGAACCGTTTTTTCTGAAAATTGATCGTAGAGTACGCCAGGTCGAAATTTATACAATATTAATTGCTTTCATTAGCCAAACACCGCATCTACCTTTAAAGCTAAACAAAGAACTGTTCATATACTGTTAATAATAGCGTCTGATAACATTTATATACAAACTCAATTCAAAAATTGTTTATTTTTACAAATTACCAATATCAGCAATAATCGAAAACTATTTTTTTTCCACGTCTGTCTTTAAGAAGCTCAGGGTGTATAAGTGTAATTAAACTAGTTTAAGTTGAGTGTCGATATTTTAAATTGTAACTAATTTTACCTCGGGCGGACTATCTCGCTTTTCGGGGTTATTCTGGGCACAACTTGTCAATATTAATAAAATTAAGTTTAAATTAGGCTTATGATCTTTCTCAATATGAAAGTTTGAATTATTCTAACAAATACTTATGTACATAATAAAATCTAAAATCGTTATTTTCTTGAACATTGGAAAAAACGACCGAACAAATGGCAATTTTTAAAGCCCTATATTTTGCGTTCAATTTGCAGTGTTGTGATCGCATCTATTAGAAAAAGCACCATCAATAAATGTGCACTTAAAATAACTTCGCTGTTCACTTATGTGGTAAAGAATGGCTACCAATAGATAACTTGAGGTCAATGTTTGATCCAAATTCGTAAGCAACGTACGACCCCTATATCAAGCTCGATGGTCTCATTGGTACATTATACCATCGAGTGGGACCATCGAGTGCCAACATCTAGTTTGCCACTAAAAGTTGAAATTTGTACAAAACACAAATTGACAGATATCACTTTGGGCAACTGCGTTCAATAATCTGCCTCGATTCAGAAGGTTTATCTACTCTTTCCTTTAATATTCTCTGCCTGCTGCGCCCACTTGATTTAAGATAGATATAACTGGTGCTGATAGGTGAGATAGTTAAGAATTTGAATTCATCGTGCTTGGTCTTTCGGGTTGCGGACGAAATTATTGGGGGCGGAGAATTATAACGTAAAATTTTGCTTTGACGCAATCTTTCATAAATTTGGAGAAAAAAAAAACAAATTCTAAACTCTGTCATGATGTTTCACAAAAATTGCTCAAAAGACGATCTTTTTTAGCCAAGATACTCGAATACGTCGAAAAGATGTAACCCTATTACCCCCCATTCACATGCTTCGGTATTTCTGTCGGGCTTATAATGTTTGGCCGGTACCACCTAAAAAACGGAGCTTTAGTTTCGTGTAAAGATTCCCAACACTCTGACCATAAATAGTTTAAAGCAGTTTCATACTACATGAGAAAGATCAAGAGCGATGAAAAGAAGATACGCGCACTCACCTGCGTATCAACGCTTTTTTAATTCAGGCAGTATTTATCTTAGAGCGAATGTTACCCAGACTGATATCTGCTAGGTACATTATTGATAAATAATAACGCAATAATCCTAATGGAAAAGTGTCATATCATTGAGCCCTATTACCTTTCTACAGTTAATCGTTTTGAAACATCTCGCATACACAAAGAATAACACAAGTTAGCTAACTTCGACCTTACAGCCGGGCGGTGGAAACAAAAAGCAAACGTTGAGTTCGGTATGGAGCATTGAGGCCGACTTGGAAGTTTACATTTGGCTCGGATTATGGCATGAGCGAGAGCATTCTTTGGACGGGGTACCTGAGGTAATTTCCATTGTATTCGTTGTGATACTCACACGTCAGCGTACCTAACATACAGGTAGACTGAAGTTACTCTCATACATCTTGTAGGGAATTATCGAATTACTATGATTAGCTATCGAATAAGCATCCGATATCTCTTCAGGTCTTGTTATTTTGTGAGACACTTGAATACCGATCAGAAATGTAGAACTCGTGAGATTGCGGGAATTGTCGTGGGGATAGTAACTATGCGGCTTTTCGACCTAAAATATCGGGAGAGGAAGTAAAAATTTTCAATAAAAATAGGCGACTTTCATGTATTCGAAAAGGTGCGGTAACCACGTTGACGTTAGCAGAGAAACTTTACCGACAGACTCATTGACTGACTGACTGCGGCACGAAATCCAATGCCGACAACTTTTATTTCAAAGAAACAAATGCTTCCAGAAAGGAACGACTTTACCATTGTAAATTACTTCAGAGTAATAAGTAAATGAACCCATTTCTAGTTTCCATATGAACGGCTATAGGTTGCCTTCAAAGGCCACTCTAGCTGGATTAGCTTTGCAGTGCTGCTGCAGTCACTTACCCTCATACTGTCGCCATTTGTATTTTGTTTTTTTTTTGTTTATTTCGTTATGTTTGCTTATGTTTGTCTGTATGCATCAATCGACAATCACTGTATTTGACCCTTCAATTAATAGGGTTTCAGTAAAAGAGCCGTTCCTGCGGAGCGATTGCATTACACCGAAAAGGGCAAGTTTACCCTTCGAGCCCACATGTACCAGGCAAGATCATTAATTGCATCAGACTCATCCGGACTCTCCGATCCGTTTGCACAGGTAACAATATATCGTACGTATTTCATTAGTATCATCACGGCTTCCCGTTTAGGCTATCTACGTAATCGTTAACTGCCATAGTTTTTAGAATCTAACTATGTACATTCAAAAGGCAGAATTTTCGATACGTTAAACATCTTGGATTATGGTTACAAGATTAACGCTTTTATAAAGATTTGCTATGATAGAGAAGTTATGTGATAAGCAAAGCTTAGTTCAGGCAGTCAATTCAAAATAATCGAAATATAAGTCCTTCTACAGTATGGTGACCTTGTCATAAACATGTTATGGATAATGGAATTCTAGCTGACCGAAATGTTTGTATTGCTCCTGAAAGGATCCATTGCGTTCAGTAGTGCACCCATGTTTTCACGTTGAAACTAGCCGTCAGCACACCATACCGCGACGACACCCACAAAACAAGTCAAGGAGGGTACCAATGATAGGGGTAGCGTACTTAATCTCATACTTATTCTCAACTTATCGATGCCAGAAGCCATACTGTTTTTTTTTTGTAGGCATCTGGTACATATAATTTTGTTCATACATACTATACACCCCAATTGTATTGTGGTTTGCGTGTCATAGTGTTCTAGAAACAATTACATAAATTTTCCGTGAATAAAAACAACTATTGCCATCAACAAATGTTCCGAGGGAATAAACTACAATCCGGATTGCCATTTTGCAGATGACTAAGATCGACTAGGCTTTGTTGTGCAATGTAAACTGCTCTAGATACGTTAGCGTAGGCTTTTTATTTTTTGCCTACCAGTCATTACAACAAACAGATACATGAAACTGGTACATAAGGGGCAGTTAGATGTATTTAGAATACCGGGTGTCCAGCAGGTTCCATTTTTAAATGTACCTGTTTTGAATTAAGAAGTAATTACTTACGCGGAGTAGATACAAGTAGAAACTTGTATCCGGGGTAAAGCAGCAATTAGAAATACGTGGAGATAAAATTCGATTCGAATAAGGCTCCTATAAACGCAGTGATTTACTTCTAATGACCGCTAGCGGTACAACTTCCACTTCTTTATCAAGATATACAAGACAGAGGTGTTACCCCCCAAGTCAATCCATGTGTCGCGTCGGACAAATGAATCTGCTGTTTTTTTCTCACCGATACTACTTGCCTACTTAATATCGCATCATCGACTAGACCATGGGTTTGCATGGATAACAAGATATGCGGTTGGATATAGTTAATATTTCCTGGCAAATTTCCTGAAAGTCAGGCAGTTAAACACTTTTTAGTTGTAGTTACTTAATACAGTTGTAGTAGACGAAGAGCTCTGAAAAATAATTAGTCACAAAAGTACTGTGAAAATTCACTAATGCCACTTTCTGATCGGCCGCGACAGCAAAATATTTTTGTGTTGGTCCTTCAAAAAACAGTCCGGACTGTAAATTTCGTTTGATCCTAATTTGACCTAACCGCTCTGAATTTTACGTATAGAGATTTCAATGAACCGTTGAACTTTCTTTATCTCAACCGCGTCAATTGCACCAGTTAGGACGCGTATAACATTGATTTCCACTCAAGGTTGAGGTGCTTTAGTGATAAACTAATATGACATAATAGAAAAACATTTATGCTAGTTCAGCTAAAATGACAGGTGGCCAATTACTAAGTGCCTTATAAAGCTCACTGTACGTAACAATGAAACAATTTACTCTATTATATTAGTATATCCAACCAGAATATAAGCCATACGAACTGTTGGCTTATTTTGCAATTTATATGCTATCATTTAGTAACCGGCATTCTGAGAATGTGTCTAAATACTCTACTACCTTCCGGTTATAAAGAAAGCTCGTTCTCTTCATCTTCGCTTCGTTCGCTTTCGCTAACGGGGCAAAAAACGCTTTGCAGTCCCTTGAACTATTGTAGGCCGGCGTCCCTTGTAGGCAAACGGAAGCTCAGCAAAGTCAAAAATAGTGATGCCACTTTGTTGTGTGATGCAAATGAAGCGTATTCGATGCAAGGCATTGTACCTTCTTCGTGTTATTAGGATCCTCGAAGGACGTTTTCTGACTACGTGTAGTGCGAGAGCAACAATCTGAATCAAACCTGTCTGAGCTGCCCTCCATAATACATGTGGAAAACTCTATGGGTACCGTTTTTTAGGACGTTCGGATCAATTGTCCTGGATCTATAAGTGGACGGATATATATGCTAAAAAAAAAAGCCGATGCTGTTACTTTTACCGTACAAGCGAATCTTTTCAGCTGGCCCAAACCGTTTCATTGGTCTGTGTAGGTACAGAAGCGCGCTCTTATAATGCACGGAAGCACTAAATCTGACTAAGACTCGTCGTGGCTCTGAGGTCCATCTCAATTAAAACTTGTGTTGCAGGTTATCCACACGGAACATATACGTTCCCTCTCGAGTATCTGCCACTGGGTTAGTGATCTAATAACTGTAATATACGAGAAACTACTATTTTTAAATAAGCTTATTTTTCTTAATTTTTTTTTTTTTTTTAGGAAAGTGATTACCGAAAGCGAAGATCAAAACCTGTTTCTAATCCATCACTAGTCTTCAATAAAGACAAGCCGTGCTGCAAGAACCGACTGTTACCGCCAATTTATTTGTGTTAAAAATATTATCCGAAAGATTACACGTAGCTATGTTTTCTACTATTTAATTTGCACTAGCAGAATGCTAAAGTTCCGATGCCAGCTTTTCTTGAACCGACTATTACTAATCTTCACAAAATCTACAAAAACTCTTACAATAGCGCGAAAAATGAACATATTTTTAGGACGTCTATTTGGCGGATGGATAAAATTCATTTTCGAATAACTCTATCCGAAATGTCGTTTGCCAATATTTTGTTATTACTAGATCATGAAAGGAGCTATAGCGAGCGTTTGGTGAGAATACGAATAAATTATGATGATGAAACGTTGCTGAAATATAACAGCACACGCCGCATTACCTCATCTGGCTTTATCGATTGAGGTCGATCAGCGGCTTTTCGTAGCGTTACGCTTTTGACCTTGTGATGCTATTAGTTCCGAGCTACATACATTATTATTAATTAGACATATCCGTGGTAAACTAAGTGAGACCGCCTGCTGCTGACTTCTGTTAAAAATGCATTACCGGGAAAATGGCATTTACCGTCTAAATAACAAAGCCTAGCCACGTGAACATTAGGCCGAAAATTTACTGAATATCTAGGATTTTTGTCAGATACTTGAAATCTTCAAGAACTAGACCATGAAGTACAATGAGAAGTTTCACGCCAAGTCTGGCTTGTGTTGTTATTTAAAATCATTTGCCGCCCTAAATCCTTAGAGATGAATCTTTAAGAAATCTCTAAAATGTCATTTACAGCCTTTCGTATCTATCCCTGCACCATCCTTTTGCAGTTTTGACGAGCGGTAGTGAGCCGTAAATACCCAACATTTTATTACATATAATGCTGAATAAATGATTCTCCGAAACTTCGTTGAAGTTATTAGCATTATCTACACGAAATCCCTGTAGTTGCACGCCGTGTGCTATTTCTCTAAACTTGCTCATCCAATGTTTTGACTATATTTTTTCAGTAGCTCAAAGGATTTCATGTTGACTGTTCGAATAAGGTGAAGCAAACAGCAAGTTAAACTATACGAAGTTCACGACGTTGATAGCTACGTGATTTTTTAGTTATCGGTGTATCCTTATACATACTGGTTTCGCATAATTGGAAAGATAGACTATTTTAAAGCAATTAGGACAAGTGCCTATGATTGTTTGGTAGGTAACCTATTTGCCTGCTCATCTTCGAGGCACGCTATGACCTAGATTCGAATCAGGACATAGAGAGACAGTCTGTTTCTTGCTGGGAGCTAACCGCCCGATGGGATGCCTAACGGCGATGCGGAACATAGAAACCAATTAGAACGAGGTACAAAATGATTCGTGTTTGGAAAGTAATCTTGACAAACGTGATACCTCATGATTTCACGTAAACAAGTGTTTAATTATTTATTTAAGCATATGTCTACGACAATTCCCTCAGTACATACAGCGCTAAATGCAACAGAACATTTTCTTCCAAGTTTCGTAATCAGAGGAAGATCAGAATCAGATCACCAGGAAACACAGTAAATAGGTCCAATCTTTCACGCGCCAATGATTAGCCTACAAACCTACAGCCTATTACGCAAATTATGTTACTATTCTATCGACTGTTATGGCACGTTGCCTGGAAAGCAGTTTTGTGGTCTTTACGGCTGAACTTTGACCAAGCGAAGGTTACTTCGAATAAATTAGAATAAACAAAGCGCTTGCCGCTAACCTGTAATACCAAGAAATAAAAAAGCCAATCAAGGAAATGCAACGAAAATATTATCCTTAGATATCCTTAGAATGTTTTAGCTATTAAACAGGTACTGCAAAAGACAGAGTAGAGTAATACGCCGGAGACCTAATTCGATGTGCTTGTACACAATCTGTTCTGCTAAACGGAATTTTGGTAAGAAGCGTCACCTGATTGGTTCAAGTTCATCTAGAGGACGCAATGATACAACTGGGCGAGCATGTTTCATTAATAAAATCTGTGATGTATTTTATTAGCAACCTGGTCGAGCGAGGTAGGGACCCGACGGGCGATATTCGATTAATATATATATATATATAAATATATATATATATATATTGAGAAAGTATTGGTGGTGAAAGGGCTGAACGTTCACGAAAAAACTAGAGTGATTTTCGAGATAGAAACCAAAGATTTATTCGTGCAGATCTAAAAATAAATCATCATAAATAATGAACTATCATCAAATTTTACCCTAACAATGGCTATATGATACATATCCGTTAGTCGTTTTGCGGAAGACAAAAATCGTTATAGGAAAACTTCATAAGGCAGAAAAATGTGTGGAAGATACATCTGGTTTCGTCCCTCCGGACGTACCTGATATCTTCGGGTAATCCAGTTTGAAAACTTCCTGGCCTTAATATATTATTATGCTTTGTTGATTACTCTCAGTCGTGGTGGATGGTTGTTTTGAGAATGATCATAAAAACAGATAATAGCCCATAGGACAAGCTATGTTAGTGCTAATGAAACACACATAAAAACAACCCGTTATGTAGGATGACACGTTCACTTATATCAGTCCTTGCCTTACTTGATAGATCTTTGCTGGTTCACAAAAGCCGTAATACGTATGTTTAGCAAAACAGCAGTGATCCCCTAGTTTCCATTACGTTCTTCTATTACGACATACTTAAGAATAGATTAGAAGAAAGAACTGATGTCTTTAATTTTTTTAATGGTCTGGAAAAATGCTTACTGGACAGATGAACATTACTATCAAAATTAAACAGTTTTACGGTTAGCATTGGTATATATGACGCGCTCTTTCCATTTATATATATGCAATAATATGGACCTAACCAGACTAATTGCATCTTTCAGGTTCATTTCTGTGGGCATAGCGCATGTACTCAGGTAATTGAGCAGACACTTAGTCCTACTTGGGATGAAATGATTCAGCTGCAAAAAATCGAACTTTGCGGAGATATCCGAAGATTAATTGACGATCCACCCCTAGTTGTGGTCAATGTCTTTGACCAAGATAATGTGGTTAGTATCTTTGTTCTAAGACAACTTTGTAGAACTTGGATATGAATATAGAACTTGAACACTAGTACAATATGAACTTTTCACAAATTCCTTACTTTACTTATAAGTTACTTATAAGAGTCGATTTGAATAATATAGGCAAACACGCTTATAGGTCTAGTAGTATATAGATCTGCAGGCTTTATGCTGATTTAACAGATTTGATTCATTGATATTACATTCAGCCTAGCTACCTAACAATGTCTGTCTTGTTGCAATGAGCCTGCTCCCTATGATCCTTTTCAGTTACTTCATCTAAAGCGTGCATCATGCAAAGCGTTGCAATTTGCCTAACATAAACTCTATGTTTCCATCAAACGGCGCGCTCTCAGCAAGAAACAAAGTCTCTCTATGCCTGGATTAGAGTCTAGACCACAACGTATGCTAATACGTTACCCACTAGGCTATCACGAAGGCCTAACGTAACTTATCACTCAATTTAGTGACCTTTTTATAAATGTCCGGTTATACTAATCGTATTACTCTGTTCTACCAATGATTAATCATTTTTTGCTTACCTCGCCGGTTTATTGTTTAGTGCTATAAACAGCCTATTCTGTAACATGCCAAGTTTTAAACAGTATTTTCAACCTGAAAATCGAGATTTGGTTATAGGAACATAATTTATATCACTGAACAGCTCATCGAGAGCTTTCAGTCAGTGCTCTCTTACATGGACATCTATATGGAAAATATTCATCTGAGTCTCATGAAAACGAACCAGTTACGATATCACGCTGGAATATCTATTTTAGTTATGTATAAGAAGATGCATTAAAAAAAGACAAAAACAAGAACAGGCGCCAAGAAGGTAGTACTTTGCACAGAAGGCTATCGATAATTTGAGGGTTACTGTTAAGCAATAGCTTAGCAATAATTGTGTTACCAATTTGTTCGTCACATGAGCCGCTTCAACTTTCCGATTTCCACGCATTAAAACTTCCCTCAAGAAATTATTCGAAACCTGCCTCGTAACAAAGTTTCGCCCCGTTACCACACGAGTGAAGCGAATTTTTACGCTAAACTATCCGCTTTAAACCAAGGGGCATGTACTGCCCTTTTATTCAGTTCATCGAGGTCTATCGATTGGTAGCCAAAAATTTTGCCCCAAAATTGTAACAAAAAATCTCATTGATCAATATTATTTATTCACCTTTATATCAGGTATTATTCGAATATTTGAAATAGAGACATAATAAACTTGATATGCTATACTAGATTATATTCCCTAAGTCGGCTCCGGTCAGCTGCAGCCCTTCCCACTTTAGCAACTCAATGAGAATCAGCCTGATCCGAGCACTCTACGGATCGACCTAATTTGGACAGATAAAGGCAGTTTTACGGAAAATAAGATTATATAGGCTAAAATTTACTTGAGCCTATCGGTGCTGCGGAATAGAAAAAATTATATCAACATATTCGATAGTATTTTTATATTATTACATATATTATTTGGTTCAAATGGCTTCTTCTAGAGTAATATCAGCTAAAAAATACTTGTTTTTAATTTAGCCTGACTAGGTGGGGTTATATGGACCATGAATAAATAGTCGTTCAACAAAGTTAAAATTTAATTTTTTTCATAGTAGTTGTGCCTAGGGAGGACGATAGTTTATAATAATTTTTTGTTAGGTTAGGCAGGCCAGAAGTTATTATTGGTGTGCCATAGGTCCCCGGTGAGGTTCTGCTGCGTAATGTGCAGCCGAGTTCTGAATAGCATTTTATGGGAAAAAGTGAGAAAGAACAGTAATAACTTGCGCACCCTTATCCAAGGCTAGCTTAATCGAACCCCCTTATGCCAATAGAGCTGATCAAATTTTCTTTCAGAGAAACAACATATCACACATTGTCACGGTGTGCACACAATTACGACATGTGGTGCAACGTTTACAAAAATATGAAAGTATAAAAAACAAGCCAGCATTTTGGTTGCAGTTTTGCAGACATTGTAGATTCTAGGCATTTGTCTCGGCATTGGCAAAGGGTAGTTCTTGGACGCTATCTAATTAAAGTAGGTGCCTAACCTTACGAATCTACCTGACTTACCTCGACATCTGAAAGGATATTGTGCACATTCTCATACTCCCGCTTGCTGCATTACGTAGATAACTGGACCCTGGGTTGCTAATAGTTGATTCTGTTCCCTACCGGGAATAGTGTAGCCGACGAACGGAAGGCTTTCGTTTTGACTAGTCTTCCTTATTCCTAGAAAGTAACGACGTAACGTGTCGCTCTTAGATAGTCAAGTCATTGTAGCTTACGCTATCCTGTATGCAACTGATACTAATTCTCAGAACGCTTACCATGAAAAACAGCGGATGGAGCAAAACTGGATTTGATACCCGTCGTGAGTCACAAGCTCCGCAGGAGTCCTTGAATTCGCTATTCGGACTGGTGACATAATCAACGTCACAAAAGTATGAGTAGTCCAAATTGAATTTTCTGAAACTCGGATTAACTTTAGGGTCTGAATATTAAAAAGATTAAAAGCTGTAACCTATTCCAGTCCGTTTACACGGAAGCTGCCGCTTTGGAGACTTGTGAGAACAAAATCAGCTGAGTTAGACTTGAACACGTCGCTTACAAGCTATTTTAATTAAATCCTAATGCAAGATTATTAGGCCAGAACGTTTTTAGTAATAGAGAAAATTCGTACAATCTACGTTCGTTACGGAGTACTTTATAATTCAATATCGTCGGTTCTAGGAGAGCCTAAAGACTATGGATTATTCTTTCATAACAAGTGGTGATTGTGTATTTTCAGAGCTGCAAGACACTGAGTTTACAAAATATCACGTTTTTCTTTGGTTCCGAATACTTGCCTAGGGTAAATGTGAATTTCTCGGGAGAGCCCAAGTAAAGCCCCATGTCAAACTCGGCACTTCGGTCAACACGTCGGAGCGTGAAGAATCCACCTACAAGACTCCCCAACTTGAATGGCACGACCTTTACCGCTCTCTGAATGAGAACGCTGGCCAACTACTGGCAGTGTTTGAGCTCATTGAATGCAACTTAATTACAGGTAGGTTGCAGAAATTAGGACAGCCTTAAGATGTTTATACTGTTATGGGTGTAGCTGCATAATTATAATTCATAATACTCCACGTCATAATCGACAAAGAAGAATTGTAGGTTACATTTCAATTCGAATAAGAGGTTCCGGTGGTGAGAAATAGCTATTGTGAACTATAAAGGCTCCTATTCATGGAATCTTTTGAAGCTCATATCCTCGTAGTCATGCAACTTCTGAAATGACTAACTTTACATTGTTAAAAAACCGGTGTGCAGAACTTTAGTTGCAAATAGAATGTTCTAATACAAAAACATTTTGTAATCTCATCCATTGGCGTTAGCCGTTTTAAAATTGAACGATGCTCTTATAGATCCCAGCTTCATAGCATCTCAATATTCAATCTACTAAAAGTTATTTTTATCAATTAGCGACTTACGAAGTTATCTCGCACGGCTTGGTTGCCTTAACTCAAACAAATGACAGGTGCGGCTATTGTTGGTAGCTAGATGGTGATGAAGCTCTTGCAGACTGAACCTACCCTTATCTTAACATAGTTGATCCTTAGCTTGCGAAAGGCTTCGAATTAAGAACATGGAGCTCGACTGGGGAGTTTAGAGAATAAACGTTCTAAATGATGATACTTATAAAGTATATGTATGCCCAATTGTCGATTATTGCTAACATTAAGCCTTTAGCAATAACCCTTGTCACCGTCTTCGGGTCTTTTAGCTTCAATTAGGACTATGCACAAATACAGTTCAACTGCAAACTCATCCTTTCGCTGAGCCACAAGGAGGCATTCAGTTATCAAATTCAAACTTTAACGGCGCCGTAATATTCTTCCGTAACGTACTATCATGAATTATTCATGTTCCTAACGATGCCCCAAAAATACACAGGACGCCTCTACGAACCATTTCGCACACGCTAGTGCGCGCTGTTTTGCGTTTCCGTTGTTCACAAAGCGTGTTTGTCACCATCGACTTCAAACACAGCTGAAAACAATTTAAGTTTGATCTAATAAGCCATGACCCTGCTACATGCTGCTACAATCTTAATCAACAATCCTACGATCTGGTGAGACATCTGAAGGAATGGTGTCGAAATACTTCTGGTCTCAGTTTCAGCATTCATATAGACCGAAAAAACGTTTACTGGAGCTTGTCAGTATAGCATACATATACATTGCGATGCTAAAGCATAAGGAGTTAATGAATAGATCATACCACTAGACGTTTTCATCGCAACAACGAAATCTGTTTCTTCCTTAAGGCATGCGTTTTGTTATAATGTAATTTATCTATATTATTTTATATTAATAAGCCACTTTCCTAAATTAGAGGAAAAATTCCAAATAGGCAAAGACTTCACTAATAAATAAAATAGGCTTTGTCTCCACATTCCAGCTTCCTTCATGCCTAAACATGAGTACACTGTTTTAACTCGATTACCTTAAAAACATTTCCATGTACCAATACGTTCCTCAAGATAAACTTATTTGAGACGTTGTAATCAATAGGCGAAAACGGAAGGTTTACTTTTTCTACGTTTTTCTACATATAAATTCGAGCTAATATCATTAATTTGGATATCTTGGACTTTCAAGAATTTTTACCTAGAGATGTTGAAGAAATTATGGCTTAACAAAACATATTACGTATAATAAAAGGCAAACGTTCCCGACTGTAGGTTAGCATATAATTAATTTATAATAATGACATGGTTATAATAAATTAGAGTAAAACTTTACTTGTTCATTTTCTGCGTGGATATCAATAAACCAGGAGATTTGACCGGTCGCGTAGAAAGCGTCGAACCGGTGTGGCGCCAGGAAAGAGGTCCGGTGTTACCGATTCCTCGAAGTATACGACCTACACTTTCGAAATATAAGATTGAACTGCTATTTTGGGGTCTACGAGATCTGCGGAGGGTCAACTTTTTGAAAGTCGACCGACCTAGGTAACCAAACATTACATCAATCAGACAATATTATTTCATTGTTATCTCCTCAAAAATGATCTAACTTAGACAGTTTATAACATAGAAGCTTATCAAGTGATAGCCCTTTGAAAAACCTGTACACATGAGAAAAGCTCGATGTTTAAGTGTTTTTAAGTAAAAGCTATTGAAATAATCCATTTTGTAACAAACCGTTTTAAATATTGACGGATTTCCTGCCCATTATGTCGGTTAACCATTCTGCACAGTTCAGCTAACATATTTCAAATAACATTTAACAACATTAAACATTTAAGAACATTAAACTCCAACGTGCCAATATTACTTTGTTTTGATCTGGTACATACTCGTATATTTATGGCTATTGCAGAGTTGATATCGAGTGCGGTGGTTACACAGTCCAATCATCAGTGATCACTAATTACTCGAAAAACCCCAACTTCAGTATGCCGATAAAGAGTATAGACATCGATTTACCTGACCAAGAAGTCTATTGTCCACCAGTTACGATTCGTGTTGTTGACTGCCGGAGTTTCGGACGCTTCACTCTCGTTGGTACACACGTAATTAGCACAATTCACAGGTAGAATTATTTCGAATTTTTAGAAGCTATGAATAGTTCCTATAAAATTTGCTTTTAGCTTTATTATACCGAGACTAATCTGTAGAGGTTTATCAACAATTTCTAGCTGCCTTTGTGTACGTTGACTTCCCGGTATAAATTATAGTGATCCTCCTGTTTGAAATCTACTAACGTTAAGCCTGTACTAGGAAGTGTATTCGGACCGAGCAGCTATTGCCGCTCTGTAGAACGACGAACAGCGCCACACACGAACAATATCCGTATGAACTTATCGATCAATTCGTCACACACGATCCATATAGATTACATGCCTCAGCTTATTCCAGTATATGGCTGCCATATTTCGATCACTATGTCGCATTGATATTGGTTATCTCATTACCCTAATTTTAGCTATATGCTTAGTCACAAAGCTCGTATAGCTTCATTTTCTTGCTTATTTGTACAATTATTCTAATTCAGATGTTCCATTATCGTGTTCTAAATCCTGTAATCAGACGTTACGGGCTTCTATATCAACTATTGTGTATCCTCGCTATCTTAAGGCAAAGTCTACCTTAATCTTGAAAATTCCATATAACGGTTTGGCGTCCGGGAAGATTAACGAAGCCAGAAGTAGTTGGATGATCATCCAACGAGGTTATTTTCGCCCAGTTGGCATTAGAGGCTATGGGGCAATTTTTTAGCATAGGACCAACTTCCTATGCATGTTGTTTCTGTTCTGGTAAATTTTCGTCAAACCAAACCTACGTGTAGAAAATCAGAACCATTTTTGAAATGGTCCGGATATACATAGGTACGTCAGGATACTTACTCGCTTAAGAATGCAGCCCGTTGACCGTCAAGTGCTACACGAAAAAAAACTTACTAATATTGCGCGGGGACAAATTACGATAAATATTCCTATCGCTCATCATGTATGCTTCTTGAAGACTGCTATCTGAACCCTTAGAAGTAATGTCGTAGTGAGGTCCCTGTAAGTACCTATGTAAAGACTAACAAAACACATGGTTTTTCATGCTGCCTTTAGCTGGATGGTTAACAAGCTACATTGTTTTTTATACCGATTCAGATTCATGCAATGTCCGGGGCAGGAAACAGTAAGCGGCACCCGGGATGGCGGTGGTGCTTCTTCTAATGATGGCCAGTCACGCCCGGTGGCGACCGAAACGTTAATCGACGTAGAAAATGGTGGCAGAGACGACACAGCATATGGTGTTTTGGCCTCTCTACCATCAAACGTCACTGTGATACACCTCAGCGCCCCCAGGGATGCCAAAGTACGCCTTATATTCAATCTTCAGGCAAACAAATTTGCGTTGGCAGATTAGCTTCATCTTTTCAAGCGCCACTTATTTAAAATTAACATCATTGATATAGACAACAAACTGTAAATAACGGCCGCACCTAGCTTTTGCATGGTTGGATTGAAGGGTAGAATATGTGTTAGCTGCAACACAAAGCTATCTGTGCAGCTTTGGACTAGAACCCTAGACACGGGTCATAAGAGCGACGAAACAAGATGTTGTAGTTATCGCGTTGAATGAAATGGATAATGTTACCAATCGTATACTTGGTGCGCGCTACCGCATCAATTAAAATTATTTAACAAGCTTTATTCCTAACAATTTGAAGTTATTTTTAATAAAAAAAAAGTTGAACAGTGTTATGAGCCAGCCTTCAACATGTTTAGAAGACAACATTTCGACAGTCTTGAACGACCCTTATTTTGTCTGCTCAAAATACCTAGATTAAGCACAACGCACCAGGTATTGATTTTAAACGTGGTAAGAAATCCCATATCCGTTGCATTTGATACGTGGTGCCACCTTTCTTTCTCATCTAAAACGCCGCAATATTATACATCTGTTTTGGCTTACCAAACGCGAAACAAAAATAAATATAGCTTAAATAAAATAAAATTGGATAAAATATCTTAGTTGACTAGGCCAGCGATAAACGAATGTTTCTTGTATCATCAAACGGTGTGGTAATTTGCACCGCAACTTATTCGATCTTCACGTAGATCTCTCACGCGGACCTTAATTAGGCCCCAGTATATTATTTCGACTATATTCGGCTCAAGGCTACCTAGAGTTTCACCTTTGAGATCACTTCTAAGGCAATCGCCTTTCCACGAACGCTTGCTAGGCGCTATAGAGAACGGTGCCCAGGTAACGATTAGGCACAAGTTAAATGACGTTCTACACAGGTCGAATAGAGTGGCCTTATTTTTATCTCATAACACAACGAGTGTCTGTTTTAATTGTTTTCAAATTCTAACCGGTGCGCGCAAAACGTAAACTCATTCTTTTTACCAGTCGACCCTCTGCTTTTTTAAATAGTGTCAAAAAAACTGTCTGATGAGTCAACTAATTATGCCCACTCGAATACAGTTTAGTACGGATAGTAACTAGTACATAGTAAGTACTGAGTAAGAGCAAATAAAAACTTACGGCTCATTAAGTGAGGGGAGGGAAGGATGCGTACTCGTGCGTTGAAGTATCATCATATATATGTATGCATGATGAACGATTTTTTCGACTATGATTTTTTGTTTGAAATTGATAATGTTTAGAACGAATTGTATAGTAACCCTTTGATACTCAATTTCGTCAACGTAAGGTACGCCGTTGTTAATTCATATTGTAAGACTAAGTTTTGCTTATTAAGTAACAATATAACAATACCCATGTTGTAGAACCCTGATAAAAACCTACCAAAAAGTAAAAGGAAGCAAACCAAGCAGAGAAAGGACCGCGGATGTGGTAGTACAAACAGGGGCGAGGATTTGTCCGAGGATTCAAAAGACTGGTGGAGTCGATACTTCGCCTCAATTCAAAGCCAACAGCAGAAAGCCAACACAAACAAGCCGAACTCGGATGAGAGATTTCACTCGGAGAGACTGCGGAGTCTCTGTGATCAATATTCAACGGTGAAGGTAAGCGAGGTCCCCTTGAACGTAGTTCAATAAATTTCTATTTATCACATTCCGAGTACTATGCGAGTCAACGGAGGACTCGAAATCAACCTGGCAAACTGTGATGGAAAATTAACGGCGCAAGTCATTATTAGTACACGGTCAATATATTATCTATCTAGCTCAAATTTAATAGTTTGGTTACGGTAAAGAGCGATAAAACGTGATTTGCGTCACTCGATAGAAGTTCCGTACGGGTGCAATTTTCTGTAACGCAAAGTGAGCGAAAACGTTCAAACTAGGCGTGCCTTAGGCCTGCGTACTGTTTCTAACAAATAGGTCCATGCCTCGGAGCTTGAGAGCGTAGCCGACTACAACGGTTTTGTCGAATGGTTGGAAAGTTTTCAACTTCTGCGAGGAAGGCGAACGGGCGATGAAAGCGACGATGAACGAAGACTTGTCGGAATATTCAAGGGCTCGCTCAAAGTTCACAAGTAAGTTAGGAAGTAAACAGGTTTAACAAGGCCGGCAACGGCTGCACTAACAACAGCAACGTACACTATAGCAACAATAAATCCGGTTGATACGTCTGCAGCTCAGCTACTTTATCAAGCATATTCGCATATAGAAAGCCAAAGTAACAAAAATGAATACTGTGTGATATGTGTGCAAGTTTACATGTGCTTAATGTGAAATCAAAACCTGAGCCAGGGATTTTTCCGGAGACTTTCCTAATGCAAACTTCTACAACAACAATAATTAAATCAACAAAAAAAAAAAAAAAAAAAATACTAATTTACAAGAAAGATAAACGCAAGTATCTCTAAAAGTGCTGATCATTTTGCATAGGATGGCTCCAATACAAAATATGTTAGAAGATAGTTGCCCTAACCAAGACATCACCTTTTGTAGAACCGTCTTTGTTATAAAAGCAACTCCGAGAAAACAAAATCGGGCAACTTTAAGTCGTTAGCTTAAAAAGCGCAGATCCAAAAGGAATTTCATGATGGAAAAATTGAAGACCTTTTCTCTTCAATTGATAGATATCCTCTACCACCCGAGTGGGAACCGTTGTCACGTTCTGTGCCAAGTAACGAGCCGATTAAGGTGTTGGTAAGAGTTTACGTCGTTCGCGCTACCGACTTACATCCGGCGGACCTGAATGGCAAGGCCGATCCGTATCTCGTTATCCGATTAGGTCACAACAAAATGAGCGACAAGGATAATTATGTATCGAAACAGTTAAATCCAGTATTTGGTAAATGCTTCCAATTTGAAGCAATATTTCCACATGATTCAATGCTGCATATACAGGTTAGTGGTCATTCACTTTATCATTTACCTCTTGCAATACTATACGTACACTATGACAGGATACATACGTTTTCTTGCTCTTCAGGCAGGTATATAATGGAATTTTGCCGTGAAACCGCTCTCCAGCTTTGAGAATGATCGATGTATCGCAACGGGACGTCTAGATGATTGCGTAACACCGAGTGTTTATGAGTTTTTAGTTTACTAGTTATCTCATAACGAATAAGTCGACATACATACCCGTTTTGAGCTAACGTGTCTTTCGCTATAGACAGTAAAGAACGAATATAGAATACATATTTTTGAAATAAACTTACCGTAGGTGGATTGAGCCGACCAGTCGAACATATAGAATTTGTTTGAGAAATCATAATTAAAAATTATGGGAAATGTTGAAGAGACCTTAAAATGAGGTCATTAAGTAAAAATGAAGCGTCATTTTACTGTACATGAAAATATTCCAAGAGTCGAAAATCTCAAATGATGACTTCCTCAGTTCATATGTAGGTCATCGTCTTCGTACAAGCGACCATCTACTGTTCTCACCCCAATGTATAGCTCGGTCTATTACACGAACGATAGTTCCTTCGTCCGACATGTTGGATTACTAAAAAAACCGAACAATTTGGTAGTCTCAGTATGCAATATTTCTTTCAGGCATCATTCACATAATCATTATACTGAATAGATAAGTAATTATCGATTCGTAATAAAAAAATAATAGCAGCTAACTTCGCCCGCATGAACGCTGGTTAGGGACCGTTCCAGGTATTGCTACGTTCAAGTTACCTGTATAACGCAGCTGTTCATACAACTAATGCACGTAGCTAATATTTCCAGTAGCTTTTGCTGTAAAGCTGATGCACGACTGACGGGTACCGTCAAAACGGAAAATGCGACTATATACTTGACTCGAAAACATTACGTATCCATTGACGGTTTATTATGAAACCGTAATATCTACTAAGGGAATTGTGTGTACAAGGGTAACCTGTAAACTTTTCAGATTCAACATGGAGATGGCATTACTCGTCAGTAATATTCTAATGATATAATTGCGCGTGCGTTGAACGATATTTACGAGCCAGGTCAGACGTTATACTAACTGATGTCGATGTTTCTATGAAAATGCAAAAAATTGATTTCTTACATTTGAAAAGCAATACGCCCACGCCAATTTAATCTAGAATGGGTATTACCGCATCATCGTTTGCTACCGGGATGTTTTGGTTAGCTAATTCTCCACAAACGCCGTCGTACGTGAAACAACTGAAGATAACTACCATCACCGATAGCATCACGACAAGGGCACACCTGCTCTTAAATCATTGCTAAAAGGACAGAAACAGTCAAGGCCTTCTCGAAGAACGTAATCGTTGTATACTGACTGAAGATTTGGGCATGAGAAAGCCAAGCGCATGCGAATCAACGTTCCAGTGACACGTTGGAACAATTTAAACAAATTATATTAATGTTACCCAAGTTACGGAGTCGCAATCAGGACCAGACAAGATGTAGTTCCATCTAGATAATGTCTGCTCTCACGCTTCAGAGGCAAAAATTTGCAAATCAACATTTCCCATCCACCGTATTCACTAGATTTGGTCCCCAGCGATTTTTTTGATTGTCCAACTGAGGGTTTCGCTTAGGGGCGTGCATTTTGATATTAATTACTGTCTAGAAAAATTAAAGGAGGGGGGAATCCCTGGGTAAATATACCGATTTACAAAAAAAAAGCCATATTAAAATTTTCGTCTGCATTTAACCAAAAAACTTATTGCTGTGTCCGACTAAAAACTCTCTGCACGATAACCATATGTTAGTTAGTGGACACTGCCTGTTTTGACTACATCAATGTCCGTACAACGGAGAATACACTTCGAACGACACTTTGATAACCTGCAGATACTTGGAAACGTAGACGCCAAGGATTCTGGTTGGACCCAGCTGAAAAATTTTTAAGAATCGAGCTCAGACAGATGGATCATGAGCCAACGCTTTGATAGTCTCGGGATAATAGTGGAGAGAAAGATATTACATAATGAAAGCTAACAGATGTAGTCGCTGAACACACCTATCCCTTGCTGCAGGATGTAGTGTTCAAAGTGTCTTTTCCTTTTTTTTCCCCATTCATAGATGAACCGTTTAGGCTCAAATGATTTGCCTGTCAAGCCTTAAATCAGCAACTCAGTGGCGCAAAGGGCATTTTTGACCCCATAGTGATAGAGCCTTGTCTTAACGGAGTCCTAATCCCAACCTGGATTTCAGGTTTTCGATTGGGATCTGTTGGGACGGGACGATCTCATTGGTGAGACTAAGATTGATCTAGAAAATCGATTTTATTCAAAACATCGTGCTACTTGTGGTCTACCGCTCAAATACGACACTGAAGGTATGTTTTGCCAAAAACATTTTAAGCAAACATCACGGAAAGGCTAAGACATATAATACACACCATGTCTAGATCAACTTGTTTCTACAAGTATAGTTGTTTTCAAACATATTTAAGGTACAATTTAGTGTACTGTAGAATATGGGCACAAAATACATTTACACAAATTATTATTATACGAAATTACGAGTTGTTAATCTTTTCTCCTTTGTTACAGTTGGACCGAATCAATGGCGTGATTCATTGAAGCCATCTCAAATTTTAGCCAAATTGTGCAAGGAGCAAAAAGTTGATGGACCACAGGTCCTTCCTCCTGGAAATCGCGTACGAGTTGGCAGGCGAACATTCATTTTTCGAAGCAGTAACGATGAAGCAGATGATGAAACGGTTGAATTACCAAGCGTTTCTCACTCTAAATCATCAAAGGTGATCTCTTTAAAGTCAATAGAGATTTTCATGGTTTGTACCACTTGAGATAATATTTAAGCAAAACGAATCGTACCGCTTTAGACATGCGTAATTTTGATACTATCTACGGTAGATGCAGTTGAAACGTACTAAATTTAATTACAGGCGAGTCTAATATTCAATGTATTCATTGTGCTTGTTTCTCTTCAATATGGTAACGTCCGCCAAAACGTTAGAAACAGCGCGCAGAGAACTACGAGCACATGTCGTTGGCTATATTACATCGCTGGTCAGAAGTAGCTAAAGGTTGCGGTGCTTTGATTACCGAACATGTCGAAACCCGGCCACTTTTCCACCCGGATCGCGCGCTTGGCATCGAACAAGGCAAACTGGACATGTGGGTTGACATGTTCCCAATGGACTCAGGACAACCTCCACCCGGACCACCTGTTGATATCTCACCTCGGAAACCCAAAAGGTACATAGCAGTTTGTTGTATAGGACGCTTACATTTTATTTACGCTCGAGTAGTGCTTGCTAATATTAACATAATTATCCCTGTAGCTTTGGAACTGATAATGATATTGATTCGAGATCGGACACTCAATTTACGCTAAACTAATGGATTTTCATTTATTCCGTCAAAAAGAAAATATAAAAAATCTCGACCGATACGTTTGTTCACAAAGCGTACTACGCATGCTTGGCCTATGTAATACAGTTCTGAGTTCGTTGCAAAGAGACCTAGAGAAACAAAATCAGCCACCACATAAATTGGCATAACATGTCTCTCTAGACAAATCTATCCTTATAGTCCTCGACCATGTACTTCTATTGAGTCTCTAACGACGAAATTATCTATTTCTTGAAATGATTTTCCTATACAGTCACGTATCACTACGTCAATGAAGCTTAGTAGTAACAGTGGTTCAATATAACATCAGCGTAGATTGAGGTGGTGTGGTTTGCAGGGCTATTATAAGTGTCTTCCAATGAAGCTCACAGGTACGATGTGCCCCAAGAGCCGCACGTCCGTATGAATTTTACCAATTATAATTGAATATAATTCCATAAAAAACGTTTATTGTTACTGATTTGTGACGTGAAGCGACAGCTGATGCCGTCTACGTATAGGACACGCGGTTTGACGTAAACTGTTGAAATATTCCATTTGATTAAAATAGATTCTATTATAATTAAAAAGAGTCGTTTAAAAACAGTGAGAAAAATACGTTTTGAACTTAGCACATTAACTTTGGGCTGCAAGATCAGGAGGCAAACGAACAAAGTTCATAATAGAGTGTATAAATAAGCCATTTAAATGCTAATTACGAGCGCTGGTAAATTAAGTATGTAACTGCGTCTACTGCTACAGTATACACAATCAGCTTACTTGAACCCAGCTAGCCTAAACTGTAGCATAAGCATTGTTGGCCGTTTCTCCTCAGTATTATATTATAAGTTTAGCATATAAGTTAGTTTAGTACACCTGGCTGGCATCTTTACATGCTTACATGTGGATTACCGTCAAAAACAATATATCAAATCACTTTTGCTTGTGCTGTTAGGCGATATGCCGTACCTAAAAATTAAATAAACGCTTGAAATTTAACAGCATCTAACCTAGATTTGTTCGCATGACCAGCTTCGAGCTCCGTGTCATCATCTGGAACACAGACGAGGTGGTATTAGAAGATGATGCGTTTTTCACAGGGGAGAAAATGTCCGATATCTACGTTAAAGGGTATGTTTCAAACGAAAACTAGACAGACCACTGGATAAGTCGAAATAAAAAGAAGAGCACAGCGGCCGATTTACTAATTAAGCGGAGTTACGTTGAATTATTAGATGCTGAGTGATTATTGTCGTCTTTATTATTATTATTAGTATCATCATCATCATCGTTGTTGAAACGTTATTTCTGCTCTTTACAGGTGGTTAAAAGGCCCGGAAGACACTCAGAGTACAGATATACACTATCGATCATTAACGGGAGAGGGTAATTTCAACTGGCGTTTCGTGTTTCCGTTTGAATACTTACCTGCTGAAGAAAAGATCGTCATTTCTCGAAAAGAGTCTCTGTTCTCGTGGGATGAGACGGAATCAAAGATTCCTGCTCGACTCCAGTTACAAGTTTGGGATGCGGACCACTTCTCAGCAGACGACTTTCTCGGCGCGCTTACTCTCGATCTCAACCGGTTCGTGTACAACAATAGATACTAACGCTTTTGTCAACACGTATTATATTAGCTATGGCGACCTTCACATGACCTGATGCTAGCAACAAATGCCATATACATTTCTAATTAATCGCTGTATTGCAGAATACACAAATTTACGAACCGTAAAGTGTTCATATTGGGAGAGACCCATTCACGAAGACTCATAAAGACTTCGATTTCTCCTAAGCTCCTCTTGTACATAGCGGATTTGCTGATATTAGGCAATCCCAATGGACCAACCCCACAAGCCACTCCATCATGGCGCATTACTTCGAAAATATTGCTTACCATTCCTCTGGAACTGTGCGTTTGTGATCGTCACGTACACTCTGAACTATAGTTATGCGCTTCTTTGCTGCTTCAAGCGTAGTAATAATTGTTTTAAGCGCCTCCCGCTAGAAAGCGTGATAATAGAGACGTGTCGACGTCTCACCCCTCGATCGGGCACCTTTGCCCCATATTGACAGTTTCTCAAGGCGCTGATTTGCTTGTTGCTACATATAGATACAATAAAATTGTGTTGGTAATTTTGTGTTTATGGGTACAAATTAACGAGTCGATTTAGGCTAGAGTTTAGAAATCCGCTTCCAAAAGAGCTACCGAACACCATACCGATTACAAGACACCGAACTAGTGAATCCTAATTAATGCATATATGTCTAGGCTTCATAAACTTGTTAAGATTGTAAGCTGGATCTATAACATACGTTTTCATATTAGTACTGCTGATTATGGCTTACTGCTGATTATGGCTTGAAGTGCGCCGTTAGCAATTATGATGATTTTGGCCTGACACCCGGTCAGTTGCAGCTCCCTATGGCACAACAACTGACCCGAAGAATATCTCAGGATTTTTGCATACGATACAAATAACGAGACATTCTATTCCCGCAACGAAACCAGGTAGTGTCGATAAAATAACTTTTCTTTTCCGTTGACAGCTTTCCACGCGGGGCGAAAACGGCCGCTCAATGTAAGCTTGATATTCTACGGCCGGATAGCCCTTACGTTTCCATCTTTAAGCAACGTCGTATCAAAGGCTGGTGGCCTTTCTTTATCAAGAGGGCCGATGATCAGCAGATGGAGCTCACTGGCAAGGTTGAAGCCGAACTACATCTTCTGACAGGTGCGTGTCTATATTAGCGTAACGTAATATACCGTAAACGATTGGGACCGACATTACAATTTGGTTATAGCGAGCCTTTTATCAAATGGCTGTGCGCTCGAGTTGGTAGCAATGTTTTATGTTAGGTCGTTCAGTATGAAGTGCGAGAGACGCTAATATCGTATATTATAGTAAGGTTATTTCATAACGGTGCGGTACAATTTCCTGCTTTCTAGACACATTTTTCTTCTCCCTATTTTTTTGGAACCTGTGATTTTTTTTACTTGCGTATCGTTATTCAGACTTCTTACGGGCAAGCTGCGATGAGCCAGGAAAAATAAGAAAACTCGTGTTAAAAATCTCATTTATGAAGATGAGTTTCATTTTCGAACCGTGGCTAATTGCATAAATCTTGTATTTGGTGAAGAATCTATTGCTGAAAACACCGTAAGCCGTTGGTTAAAAAAATAACGTAAGGAAATTTAAGCGAAAATGAGCCTTGTGGACGATTTTTTGTAACGGCAGATAACGAAGTATTAAAAGCTGTGGTCGAAATCGACCCATCTGAAAGTGCATGCAAGCAATGAGGTTTGCTCTATGTAGAAATACTATTTCTGTTGGTATCTATTTGATGGTCTATTGCAACTGGTATCCACTGCACCTTCATGCATTTTCGTTCGTCGAGTATGGCTGAAGTGTACTATCAAAGGTAGAAGATGATAAATATACTCTGCAGAAAGCAACTAAAGTTAATACATTTTCAATTGTACGACCGTGCTCGATTTCAAACCACGAAGATTAAAGTGACAAAATGCAGGAGCTCCAGGTAAAGCTCATCAAATACCACTATTAACTTTGAAGGTTTCCATAACTTTTTGATAGAAAAACTACTCAAACCTCACTACGTCGAAATTACCTTTCAAAACTTTATAGGATATCGTACACCGGCCCTTTACAACAGCGGAATAAATAAATTACGACAAAAATGGAAAAGTGTCATAGATTCCAACGGTGCATATTTCGACTAAAAATGATATAATTCTATTTACTATTAAAATAATATACTTTATAAAAAAAGTTCGGAACTCACTGTCTCGCGTTCATACTAACCGACCTAATTAATATATGACTACCGTCTACACGGCCGCATACAAAGTGTAGTTGATCGTTTATCATGATTAGTTTAGCTATCTATAGCGTTCTTGTGCCGAAGCGTCCCAAGATTACTTGTGGTCGGCGAATGCCGAACGTAAGCTGTGGTATTAGCCGTTTACTTCATTGCTTTAAGCCGTAGCAGACGATAAACGATAGACGACAAGACACTTACTACTTAAAGTAGTAAAGTAACTTCTTTTCATACACTCGTAGACACTTCGGTGACTTCATCTAATACCGAAGCCTAAGACGTTTAGTGAATAATTAAATAGATAATCATTCGTGCCAGCAAAGAGTCATCTGCACAGAATGTCCCTCAATAAAGGGCCTGTTGAATTAATAGCGTTCATCTGATGATACTTACTATAGTACTTTCTTTCGACATGAATGGTGTAAACTATTTTTTTTTTGACATGAATGTTAACCTTCCTCATTTTGTTTGAGCAATCATCATTTAATTAGTTCCGTATTTTATTTGCGAAAAATATTTTAGCCTCAACAAAATCTTCTCTAGAAAGAAGGACAAGTTCGGGCCACATTCTGACTCGAGCTGGTCCTAATTCAATTCTCAATAGTTTTAATACAAATCGTAAACAAAAGATATCGTCAGACGGAACTATTCGTTTCTCTAAAGTTCTTAAGTGCGGCCTGGCCTTCACCATCACGTTCCTTACTACTATTTATTGCTATTGCAACAACTAATAATAGCAAAAATAGTTGTGCGTTCGAACAGATACGTGCTTGCCATCGCCCAGACGATGCTGGCCAGTAACGACCTGACCTTCGACACGAACCTTCTCTAGTCTCCTATGATAATAGGCATTAGCACGTGTAACCGTAACTTGTACAGTGAATCTCCCTGATCTTCCTGAACGGCATAGGCCGTATGGCGAGATCATTAATGGGTTCTTTTGTAAGAGCCAGTGTGTTACTGGGTGCCTCTCTAACACTGCGATAGTGTTTAGGGGTACGGTAATATTTTCCTCAGTTGAAGCACAATATGCACACTACATAAGCTAGTGAATAGTTGAAGAATAGCTTATTTAAGAATAGATATTTTCTTGGGAAGGTTTGCTAACTGATATTGTCATTACAGAACCTGATATTATGGTATGGTACAGAAATTACCTGGTATAGTAACTATAGTGTCTACATTTTTGACAATCGTAGTTACTGCGATCAAATTTTTTTTTAATAAGATAAGTTACAATATAACTTTAGAGGGTCGAGGTTATTTTTGGGGTTTCAATGTTCTAGCACAGTACGCTTTGTACCACATCCAATGAACATCGAAGTTTTAACTTGCTCCAGCTGAATCTTTCTTCAGTTCTCTCTACAAGCTCTTACAATCTTTATATACACGCGTTTTTCTGCTTATAAAAATAGTCCTATTAAATGAACTGCGTTTAGTGCTGAATCTTATTAAAAAAAGCGATATAGCCATTTTACCTTGAGTAAAAGATAAATGTATGTTTAGGAGATAACATATTTTAGCACTTTAGGCTTTTTTTTTTACAACGAAACTTTTAGCTAGCTCTATGTGAACATATTTACATTTACAAAAAGTACATGTATATATTGCGTTCTCGTTTGCGGTTTTTTTTAACACTTGTTCAATAGGAGAGGAAGCGGAAAAGAATCCAGCCGGGTTGGGCCGCTCAGAACCCGATCCTCTCGAGAAACCTAACCGCCCGGATGCCTCTTTTGTATGGTTTCTCAACCCGCTTAAATCAGTCAAGTACATTGTGTGGCACCGCTACAAATGGTTCATTCTTAAGGTACTCCTCTGTTTTCTATTTGGTCTAATGATTGCTCTCTTCGTCTATTCAATACCTGGATACGCAGTAAAAAAAATGCTTGGAGCCTAAGCTATAACAGATCGTCTGGACGCTAGCAGTAGACGAAATAGGAAAAACACAGGGGCTCAGAGGCCGGACACCGCCTGCGGGAATAAGAAACACACTGTTTAGCTAATGGGTCTACTAATTATGGAGGTTTCCTATTCAAAAAGTGGCAGTTTGTTGCATTACTCGAGTATGCTTTTGACAGACCCAACACAAATGATAGCACTAGAAAGACACAACCAGGTCATTTATCAAGTTCGTTTACAAAGTGCGAGTAATCCAACAAAGATCCGCTTGGGCTTGAGCAGTTCTCGTTACCGTAGTGACCTTGGTTCTGGTATGTGTTTGAAAAGAAAGTGTTTACTTACTAGTCGGTTTATTGGATAAACTCAAACTAAGTACAATGAGGCTAAGGGTCGATTCGAAATCACGTTCCGGCAACTTACCAAGCTGTGTACAATGGGTTGAAAAGAACGCAAAATTGCAAAAAACATTTTAAGGCACGAACTATTCAGAAATCAGTAAACGCTGTTGGACAAAGTACACTCACGTTATAGTATCAATAATTATCATTGTTAGATGGACTAGACAGCATGTTATCATTCCAAAAGGACATGTTCTCAAAAGGACGAAATTGGACCACGGTATGGGCGGTGTTCCGGGTTCAAAAATAAGCTCAGTGGTACACACAATGGAATTACTGCCCCGAATCGATCATTATCTTGTCTGGATAGATATCAGTTGCACACGCCGTCTGACGGTAGGAACGCCGTAGAGCGAGCTCCGTCAGACGCCACCAGAAGATAGTTATTCAATTGTATGTAATTTGTTTGTCTGTGATCGCATAAAACAAAAAGCAATATGTTCGTAATAGAAACAAGAACTAATACAGATATAACTGAATAGATGCTGTTTTATTAAGCGGGCTAAAGGGAAGGCTGTCCATCTAATCGGTGTGTGACTTAAATTGGAAAAAATAATTTAAAAAAAAAAACGTGTAGTCAAAGGAGATCAGTCGTCAGGTGCTCGTTAAGCGTAATCCGCTACCAAAATAAGTGAAAATCTGTGAATCAGTGAGAGCTTTTTATCTGCTAGCTACTGATGTTCTGTTGGACGAAGAAGCAGATCGGCCTAGAAATTACTGGCCGAGAGCCAGCGGTAGCACGTCATAGCATTAGAACCGGAGGAGCGTGGCACGCGGCAAGTGAAATCCTAAATTTCATTTTCAACGACCTAGAATTAACCTTACCAACAACAATAATAAAATTGATAAGTAAAGAAAAAATACCGAATACAGTAGAAGGTTATAGCTATAACGTTGCTGTTCTGTATAACAAAAATTGAATATTTCTGGCGATTGGTCGTGATCGGTCAGTGATTAGGCTCATCTTTCAACAAAGGCAATGCCATCGCGAAGGAGTAACTTCATGTTAATATCATAATAAGTTATATCAGCTTAACTTTCATAGGACATTTTCCGCCTTAGCGATCTCTGTTGCAGATGAAATGCGTCATCTATTGGAGGGCATTCTTAATAGTCCTGTTGCTTGTTGTTGACTCGTTCCTATTTATCATAACCGTGTTCCATAACAATAAATTATAAATAAATATATACTCAAGGTTTTACTTTATTGTACAAGAAATTACTATAGTTATGTGTGAGGGTTGCAGATACACATCAAGTCTCCATTAAAAACAACGTTATTTCATCGCGCTAACTATCTAAGCTAAGGCTTTTGTTTGTTGAATAAACGATGGTGTTTTTATCTTAATAGTTAGTAAGTTTTCAGTTAAGTACAAACAGAGCGGAAACACCGAAATGAAGCTACCTGATAGATAGAATGGTAAACTAGAGTTTTTTTTGGCACCTAATATGTTTTTCGATTCATGCAGCTTTAGAAATATTTGTGTTGCAGCCATATTTGAGTCTGTTTATTCAGAATAGATATGTAACGCACTGTTTCAGTAGACGGTATCAGATTTAATATTGGCCGTTTGTTGTTTGATAGGTATATTATGCACTGCGATGTACTCGTAGATTTGATTGTATAGTTATGATTCTTCGAAAATTTCCGCTAATCAAAAGCTTCGACAGTCGGGCTAAGGGAATAAGGAGTCTTAGTTTCAAATGGGAAAACCAGTTGAGATTTAGCAGTAGGTACGTGTCAGTCTTCTGTGGGCAGTAGGATAAAGGTATCCGTCAAAAACGAAAAGCAAATGTTTGACAATTACAGCCAAACATCTAAGAACAGCAATAGAATTTATATAAGCAATCAGTCGCGTCATCGTGGACGACGACCCCTTATACCTAGCCTTAGGTAAAGTATATTTTTCAACTCCTAATTTAGATCTGCGCATGTCTAAAACGGCAAAACGATGCAATTTGAAAGGCAATTGATTTGTGCGATTTTATGATTATCAGCAAAGATCTATAAATAAATGTTAGTCGGCTACGTAAAAAAGAAGACACAGTCCTTTGTTTCTCAGGAAATTACATGAAATCACAGTCTATTTTTCAAGATATTTGCTGGCATTTGAGATACTATTTTAGATGCTCTCAGCCAATAATGCGCTGCCGCACACTCCAGGCGTTATGTATACTGTTTCTATTTAAAAACACATGGTTCTCTTGCGTTACACAGAATCGTCGTCCAATAGCCGACGGACATGAAATGTGGTAGAGTTTCCAAACAGTGAAGTGTTCTACAACATACAAACTGCTATCCGAACCAGCTTTTCGTCCATGTCGGAATCACCTATTTTTTTTATGGGCTTTTTTTATAAGCTAGTTGTTTAACGTACATTGATACAACCAATGACGAGGCTGCCTCCCGTACCACGTCTAATCAACGTCCCCTAAGTGTCCTCCACAATCCCCGAGTACCTTCAAAGCGGAAAGAGTCCCTTACGGTCCTCACATTGTGACTGAAGACAGAACATCAACAAAGTTTTACATCTGTCATACAGCCTACTGTTTACAGTTGTCTATGGCATAAAGGTTTAGCCGGTTGGGTCGCTGTGACAACACAACGACAATGGTATCTCGGCCGAGTAATATAATAGTATCGAATATCTACGTGTATATTATGTTGAGTAATAAAAAGTGCAATGCTTAGACTTTATCTTCTTATAAAGCGATACGATGCGATTAGGATGAGCAATATGAGGATAGGATCTCTGGATTGTACCCTAATAGAACAGGGTCCTGTTTTTTTGCTCGAGCGAGTTCTATAGTCCGTGAGGGTATTTAAGGACATTTGAGTTCTGCTGTCCTATGACATACGCCTTTCGAGGGCTACTTGTTTTCTTAAATATTTTATGCAGGTGGCTAAGCCATTTAAACAGAATAAGCCGCCATGTGCAACTTTTACTGCCATAAGCCCGGACCACATCTCAATAACATTGACGGCTAGAATATTTAATTAGCAAAAATGAAGATAACTTGTGACCATTTTAGGTTGCTGGTACGCTCATGTAGATGGTACCCTTTAGCTAGGCCAAGTGTGAGTCGTATTATGCAACGCAGTACTTCTTGTCATGGCATACTGAGAGTGTGGTACGGGGCAATAATAGAGAACAAACTGTTTTTGTCATTCCAGGTCAAGAAATTCACAAAAACGATAAATACAGAAGGATCTATCGGCTGCAAGCAGCCAAACGAGTGACTCTTGGATAAAAGCTCCCTGTATTAACAGTAGCACTTTGTGTGCAAGTTTCGTGAACGCTATAAGCTAAAAAGTTAACACGCTACGTACTGCTGAGCAATAAGAACCTTCTACCTGCTGTAACTCAAGTTCTAAGTTCCTAATTGGGTTGTGGGGGCTGGCAGCCGACACAGACGTAGTGATATAACTTGAACAATGATATGTTCTAAAATGCATGGTCTAGTTAGCTGAACGTTAGAACTTGATGCCACTGAAACTTAGCAAACGTTGACTTATAGTAGAGGAAAGAATATCCGGTTTTCTTAAATGCTTGTTTTACGAAGTTATTTGCTTGCCGATAATTAAATTCCATGTACGACTAGAAGGTTCCTTCGCTACTTTAAAAAGCCACTGTTATAATTTTTACCAAATCTTCAATTTTTTCTTCTGGCCCATGGCTGGCTATGCCGGGTGACAAAACTGCATAGTTAACCCAAGCTATTCGTTCTGCCTATAGTACGAACTCCACATTTAAAAAATGTAAAATTAACCCACTTCAAAAGTGGCCCAGCCTGACGCTCTGCAAATTCGAAAAATCGCGTGGAGCGTTTATGTAGAGCTTGCCATTTCTAATCTTAATCGTTCTAAATTCTTGCACCATCTCTGTCATTCGATTTGGGAGATTTTTGTTTATCGTATGAATGCATCCTTGCACGCTTACACTACAAATAATGAACAGAACAAACAGCACAGATAGCAACGATTACATAATCTAATAATTAGCGTTAACTTACTTAGCTCAGTATCTTCTATTTTTCTTGGTTATTTTCTATTAATGGGTGCTACCCATCGAAATATGAGTAAACGCTAGCTCCGTTTGTAGGCATCTGTCTAGAGTGATACAGCTGAGAGTCTTTCGTTTTGTTCAAAAACTAACGTTTTCCTAAGAAATAGCAAACATGTGTATAACGTGAACATTCTCCTGTCCATCCCCGTTCCCTCTCCAAAGCTAGATACTATGTGCCAATTCGGAGAGCGGACCTTCTCAACAAGTTTCAGTAACCTTCTCGGGCGCACTGGTGCTTAAGACAAAGGAACTGAGGGACGGAGTGCTTATATTGAGTAGGATAAATAGGTTCAAATGTAACGTCAATTGTAAAACTTCAATTGCAAATATTCCAAAAACCCAACTTGGCATTTTTACGTCTCTAACCTTTATTAACAACTACTTCATTGTAGGTGTTTTTCAATAGACAATTTTTTTGTGTCTAAGGATCGTGAATAGTGCCCTGATACTGGCACACGATTCTGGACAACACTTCGGATAATATGGCAGGATTCATAAGGGCTATTATATCACTACTGTCTTGAAAAAACGAGCCACTAGAACACCCCACAAAAAAGATATATGCATCATTTTTGAAGTATATTTTTTGTATCTGTGTCAATACGGAATGTTGATTTCACAAATAATAAAACTGATTGTCTCTCAAGTCTGGCGCAGGACGGCATTTTTGCATGTTTGAACATTTGTTTGAGTCAACAAAATGCGTATCTTTTGCACACTAAGTGTTAAACTAAACACTTTAGAATTGTTACCCGTTTCTTATTTTCATAATATTAACTGCGTAGTTTTTTTTTGTCACCACCTTACCAATATGAAAGGGTAGTAGCAGATTAAAACATCTTTCCAATATGGCGTCATGTATCTAATCTATCAAGGCACGTTCGCGTCGGATCGACTGATTATGTTCTACGCATGTACCATTAATACATTTGAACGTCATGAACAAAACGATTTACTTCGCGGTGCTCACGCGCGGTTCACTACGATCGGCTTCGCGGATACATCTAGTAGGTAACTCGCCTCGTGTCTAGCTTGATAGGCATCATTCGTCGTAGTAAAATGCAGGACCGCATACACGCGAAACAGATTAGGCTTACTGCCAACGGCAGCTTCTGGGTTTTGTTTTTCATCATGCACACGTGGCAAGCTTAAGAGCATCAGGGCTCAAACTTTCCGCAACACGTACTCAATTTAAGTGTGTCTACCTTTAAATCTAATAAGGTTTCTGTCTAATAAATTATTTAAATCTAATAAAAGAACCGGTCTAATCGTACTCTAATATATGAAAGAATCAATTAGATGGATTTTTTGGATTCGAAGACGTTAATAAGAACAATCTTCGACTTCAGAGTGACTCGGATGGAGCAGTAAATTAGTCGCATGGAAACTAACGTCAAGAAAAATGGCTCGTGGCCTATTAGGCCTAGCCTTACTTTAGTGTATATTCTTGACGAAATCCCCATTTTAAACGCCGACCAGTATGATGTACAGATTTTATATCATCGCCTCAGTTGCAGCATTACAAAAGAGGGAATTTTTATTTCACGTGCCATGTGTTTTAACCTAACTCTTTCACATGAATAGAGGATATGTTCATCGAAAACTCTGAATGGGGGAAATGCTTTAAGAGTTCCATAGAAACAAACCTAAAACTCGTCAACGTTTCTATTTTTGCCTTGTCCTTTTTTTTTCGTGATGAAAAATCTCTAAGACAGTTTGTAACAATCAATTTGAAGTATGACGATTTGTAACGATGCTTTACAAACAAAGACAATAGAGTATAAGACCTGGTAACCTTAGTGCAACATCGCGTTCCATTAAGATTCCAGTAAGATAAATGTTCATATGACGCTTAGATCCGATTTGTTATCGTAGATAGAATCCCATCTGTGTATGGGATGAAGACGCTTTATATATTTCTAAGCCTAAGAACACCTTCCAGCTATCAATCGATCAGTAAGGCACTTGCAGGCTCCTCTATGCTACCCAACGAGATGTCCGAAAGTACATTTTACAGCCTTAGATCATTAAACGACCTCGAAGCAAGCTCCAGCGTCGCTATAATATTTCTATAGAGTGTCGCACAGCGCTAGCCAGTGTGGTTCGAAACTTCATCGACGCTTCCCTGTTACATTCGCCACTCGACATCTATCGACTGCGGGGAATCGGTGGATTCCTCCCCGCCAACTTAGGTCAGACTTGCAGAGGAGGAAGAATCAGCAATTCGTGTAAATT